GAGCAATGCCCTCATGGTCCATTACCAGACCTTGTTACTTAACCCCGCGCCGATCAGCTTTTGCGTACCTACAGCATTAAACCCAGCTACTCTGCTGCCGGATCCGGATCTGGAAGGGCCCCTGCATGACTGTGAGCAGATCCTGGCCCAAGCACATAGCCTCAGGCCAGACTTGCTGGACTCGCCGCTATCACATGCCGAGCATACCTGGTTCACCGATGGCAGCAGCTTCATTCAAGATGGAAAAAGATACGCGGGCTCGGTGGTCACCACGAACACTGAGATAGTGTAGCACTCCCCCAGGGAACATCTGCACAAAGAGCAGAACTAGTGGCACTAACAAAAGCCCTACAGATGGGAAAAGGAAAGAGACTAACTCTCTATACAAACAGCTGGTACCCTTTACCAACGTGCATGTCCACGGAGCCATCTACCAAGAGAGGAGGCTACTGACGGCTGAAGGAAAGGCCATTAAAAATAAACAGGAGATTTTAAGTCTTATCCAGGCCCTATGGAAACCAGCAAAAATCGCCATCAGGCACTGTCCTGGTCATCAAAAGGAAGTTGATTCAGTAACTAGAGGGAAGAATCTGGCCAACAAGGAAGCGGCCCTCCAGCTCAGAACTGAAGTATTGACTTAGTAGACCCAGGGCCACGAGCTTTGCCTTCTGTGCCTCAGTATTCCCAAGAAGAGTTGGAGTGGATAAAGAAAATTCCCATGGCCCACAAACCCTTGGACAGAGAAGAAAACAAAGACTGGTGGAGAACTTGTAAGGGGAAACTTACCTTGCCGCAAGGGCTGGGTAAGGGGATTCTTAAGAGAATCCATCGGGGCTCTTACCTGGGAACCCGAAGAATGCAGGACTTGCTCCAAAATGCAAAAGTGAAAATTAGACAAGGAAATCAACTTATTGAGGACATTGTTAAAAATTGTAAGGCCTGTCAGCTCACCAATGCCCCCAATCAGCCGGTTACAAAAGGAGCTCACCTCCACGGGGACAGGCCAGGTGTGTATTGGGAAGTAGACTTCACAGAAATTAAACCTGGAAAATTTGGATACAAATATTCGCTAGTTTTTGTAGACACCTTTTCAGGATGGGTTGAGGCCTACCCAACAAAGCATGAGACCGCAAACGTCGTGGCTAAGAAAATCCTGGAAGAAATCCTACCTAGGTATGGCTTCCCATCCACTACTGGGTCGGACAACAGACAGGCCTTCGTCTCAAAAGAAAGTCTGGGAATAGCCGCGGCACTGGGGACGGATTGGAAATTGCACTGTGCTTATAGACCCCAGAGTTCAGGGCAGGTAGAAAGAATGAATCAGACTCTAAAAGAGACCTTAACTAAATTGACCTTAGAGACTGGCACAGACTGGGTATTGCTCCTTCCTTTTGCTCTGTTTAGAGTAAGAAATTCTCCCTATCGGCTTGGCTTTACTCCTTTTGAAATAATGTACGGGCGCCCCCCGCCCATCATCCCTAGCCCTCAGACTGAATTGCTTGCTGATTTGGATGATGCTGAATTTCTGTGTAAGCTTGACTATTTACAGCTTGTGCATAAGAATGTGTGGCCCCAACTTAAAGCTCTATATGACTCTGCTTCTGTCCCTACCCCACATTTCTTCAGACCAGGGGACTGGGTATTCATCCGGAGGTATAACCCGAAATCCTTGGAACCACGGTGGTAGGGACCCTACGTGGTGCTACTGACTACACCCACCGCCCTCAAGGTGGATGGCATCGCCACCTTGGTCCATTACTCCCACACCAGACCAGCTGACCCCTTTGCCCTGGATGAAGACTACCATGGTGAAACATGGGAGGTCTCCAAGCATCCAACCCAGCCACTTCACCTTCGCCTCAAGAAAAGAATGTTAGACTAAATATTGTAATTGTCATCATAACCTCCTTATTGCCTTTTTCTCTGGCTACATTGAATAACCCCCACGTTCCCTATTTGTTGACCTGGTAATCGTTGGATGGAGAAACTATGGAAGTGATATTAATTCGACTCAAAAGGAATCCCCCCTAGGAGTATGGTTTCCTAACCTATATTTTGATTTAGGTAAAATGTTAGGGAATTCTGGAGGCAAGGACAGATACTGAGTGAGGGTGAGGGGATTTTATGTCTGCCCAGGACCTAGAGAAAAGCTGAGCCGGCAGGAATGCGGGGCATAGCCTGGTATTTCTGTAAACAATGGGGCTGAGACCTCCAACAATGGGCCACACAGGTGGGCCTCCAGCTCTAAAGAAAAGGAAGTAGCTAGCTTTGACCCATTCGTACCTAGTAACAATAGGTAATACCTGCTACCAAAAGGGTGAACCTCCTTGCTCCCTTGTAGAGATGTCCTTCACAGACAGAGGCAAGGAGTATACCAGGTGGATTTCAACACACGGCACAGGATGGGGTTTCAAAATATACAAAGGAGGATACCAGGCCCTACTGCAAGCAAGGTTGTTGGTGGCCCCCATTTCCAGATCAGTAGGACCTAACCCGGTACTAAGCATACCACCCATGACCATGCCTTCTGTTAAGCCAACCCTGGGCCTACCTCAGCCAGAACTCAGGGACCCTCTCTTAATTTCACCCTGGCCCCGGGTCCAAGCCACCACCCACGTATACTTTAGCTTCTTTACCTCATAATCAGAATCCCTTAGTAAATTTAATGCAGAAATCCTATATGATCTTAAACCACACTCAGCCTAACCTGACCAACTCTTGCTGGCTTTGCTATGATGTTGCTCCACCTTATTATGAAGGTATTGCTGTCTCTGACACTGTTTCCCAAGCAAATAAGAATGAGTCTTGCAGGTGGAAGTCGAAGGTGGGACTCACCTTAACTCGAATCACCAGCTCAGGTACTTGTGTTGGAAGACCAGGGGAAGAAATGGCCTCTTTATGTAACCATACTACTGACTATGAATCAGGAACTGACTATCGGCTGCCTCCACAAGATGCTTGGTGGGCTTGTTCCAAGGCGGGCTTAACCCCTCATGTACGCTCCACTGTCTTGAAGAATCTTAATGATTCCTGTGTGTTGGTATGACTGGGGCCCACCATAACATAGTATTCAGACCCAGATTTTCCTTTCCGCTTCTTTATCCATTTGGGAAGTGTCTTAACAGTGGGAAACAAATCTCTTTGCAGACCTCCCCACAATAACCTGGGATAAACGTTTAAGTCAGCCTGGGGAATAGCCAAGGATTGTGAGATTCAGAACCCCTCAGCTGCTTGCCAAATGAGTTCATTCCATGCTGAGGAGGAGGACGAGCAATACCTGTAAAATGCTCGCTCCTTAGAAGTCTGGAGCCAAACTCCCCAGGAAGAGCCAGGCCAGCACTGCCAAAAGTCCTGTGGTCTGTGTGTGGGGCAGGGGGGGGGGGGGGAGGGGAGAGATAACAGGACCCACTCCATAATGTTGTCATGCACATTCAAGGAGTTAGTAGGTTTAAAGTGCCTAGCGCCGTGCCTGGCATAGAAGTGCTTAATGAAAGGTAGCTCAGATTACTTCTTCTATGCTTTCAGCCTCTAGGGGGCACAGGGCACATTAGTCATTACCCATGTATACAATGTAAATATTGCCAGTGGAGTTGGGGCGCTCATGCCAGCCAACATGGATAAGACCTGTCTACAACATATTATTCAAAGATTTAAATCTCCAAGGGCCACCCCTGGGGTACCATGTATAACATACCCCCAGCAGGGCTTCACCATTATGCTCAAGTACAAGGGACAGAATCAAGCCTGAATCAACCTGAATTCTGGACCCAGAGTCCCCTGGTGTTTCTGTCCATCCTGTTATTTTATTAGAAAGGATAAAATTCCTCTAGACACTCAGGAGGCTGAGGCTGGAGGAACATGAGTTCAAGCCCGCCCTGGACAATATCATGAGATCCCATTTGAAGACAAAAAATAGATGAAGATGATTAGCAAAATATCAAATAGAATATTCCATAAACTACCATCCTTATCACCCTTAGTTCCTCCGCTTGTCCAATGTCTCTGGAAGAGCGATGCACCCTTGACACAGAAATCTAGTTGCTCACTAAGGCCTCGTCACTCCCGCCCTTTTGACCTCAACTTGGTCATCTTTCTGCGAGAGAGTTGGTCAGGATGATCTCTAATGTCTTCAGCCTACAAAGCATGGATATTTGGGTGGAAGAATGCATGTGGAGAGGCCGAGCAGTGAATCAGAACTGCTTAGTACCAGAACAAGTAACTGGGCCTCGCGGCACACGAAGCGCAGAATGCGCTCCCACGCATGCTGGGTTCAAAGTCGTTTCAAGGCTCCTTTCCCTGAGAGGAAAGGGAAAGATCTGGGAGTGTTTGCCAAAGACAAAGAGAACAGAGGAAAGGGAAGAAGTAGAAAGCAGAGAGAATTAGGCACAGAATTGGGGTGCCAGGAGAGACGATGCGGAAGAGGGAGGAGAGCCAGTGGGACACAAGGAAGAACAGGATGAGATACAACAAAAACTGGTAATCCCTTACGTTAACCTGCCGTCAGCTGTGAGACAGAGACCTTTCACCGGGCCCTCAACCTGAGCATTGGTTAGTGTTGAACAAGCTATGTTCATAGATCTCTTCCATGGGGAGTGTGTGTTCAAAACCTATCAGGTAAGCTTCAGCAGATAAAGGATTGACAAGTGCCACTTGGGCAGGTACAGGGTATAGGAAACCAACTGCTAACCAGAATGCTGGACGTACACACACTGACTCACTCATCTAACAACTGCTGATCACCTACTATGTGCCAGACCTGATACAATATTAATTCTTATGTCTTAAACCCAACACTGTGTGTGTACAGAGTTAGAACTAGTTACCACGTATTGATTAAATGCATTCATTTATTTTGTTGATTGAGTCTCAGTATGACTTCAGCAAACCCTGTGGAAATCTTCCATCCCTTCCCCTTCCTAAGCATAACACCTGTGGTGTTATGAAAATTCTAGACTAGCCCCTCTCCAATGTTCTTGAAATGTCTGTTTTAATCTCTTTAGGTGCCGTCGGTAGCATGCCCAAATCCAAAACAGAAAGAGGAATACATTCTAAGTGGTGAAGATGACAGGACTTGCTGGAGAGCTGAGAATCCTCTGGCCCCACAAGCACCATGGAGAAAATCAGCTTCTTCTTCAGCGCTATCTGGGACACCATCCTGATCAAACACCAAGAGGGAATCTTCAACACCATCTGCCTGGCAGTGCTCCTGGGACTGCCACTCCTGGTGATCCTCACCCTCCTCTTCATCTGTTGTCACTGCTGCTGGAGCCGGCCAGGCAAGAGTAGTCAACAGCCAGAGCGAAACAAAAAGAAGAAAAAGAAGAAGAAAGATGAGGAAGACCTCTGGATCTCCGCTCAGCCCAAGCTTCTTCAGATGGAGAAGAGGCCATCGCTGCCTGTCTAATGAAGCACGAAGTGTCCCAGAGACAAGAGAAGGAACGCCAGAAGTGACAGACTTCCACCCACTGACTACTCATCCAAAGAACCAATCTCATACTTGAGGGTCCCAATGGAGAGACAGAGGCACATGGCCAGTTCTTGCACTGTCTCAGCAGCTACGCACCCAGTAGCAATGCTCTGCTACAAATCCAGGCATGCCTTGCACTTTTCTCTTGCCTACTCCATGCACAAAAGCACAAAGAATACCGACCCATATACCTTATAGGACTACCAAGTATGCACACCTTCCCAATCACACATCTGCAAATTCAGACAACAGGCACGTGGGCAGGGTCATCAAATGGCCACTGAATATATACTTGAAGCAACGCGGTATGTTGAACACACTTGCAGAAATGAGAAGGCACGGCCAGATCTAGCCACAGAGACCCAATTCTGCAACCAAGCAAGGCCCGCATGCACTGTCTATACCAAATGCTACTCTGGATGCACAGGTGTGCTGTTTTGTTCCTATACCTACCTTTTACTGGAAACATGTTTAGACATTCCAGAAATCCATAGCACCCCTACTCTGGTATATATTGAATCAAACACACCAAATTCCTGTGTTTCTGACCTCTTACCTGTGCCTAGAAGTTTAAAATAAGATAGATGGAAATTCATTGGCAGCTCTTGGCTTGCAGCTCATGACAAGGTTCTCATTACCACCGACAGGTGCTTAATGGGTCTGAGATCAATCTGGGATGCTATCTCCTAACCACTCAACAAGATGTCCTTTTTCAAGCATGAGCAAACAGCAGTGACTGCTAAAAAAAAAAAAAAAAAAAAAAAACTATCTGTGGAATCCCATCCATCCGTTTCAGTGAGGCACAGTGGTGTACCTCTGCAGTGCAGGCACAGATTGACAGAGCAAGGAAGGCTGTACCTGAGCTAAGGTTCTTCCGTGTAACCAAAGGTTTTTCAGTCGAGAAGGAATTAAGATAATCACCAGGAGAGTCTCAAAGAAGGCACAGTGGAAATAATTCCCATCAGGTGGTAATGGTTCATGGTATGTTGCAGGTGGGATGCAAAAGAATTAGTTTAAGTAAAAGGAGGAAGCTATAAAAAACATTTACTACAGTTTTCAAGCTCAGGCAAGTGTCACACAGTAGGTACTTAAAACTGTGGTTGCTATTGGAAATAGGATAACGTTAAGGGTAAAGGTGTCATACTCCCCCAAGAGACCCCTCTCACCACCACCAATTGCTGCAGCAGATGAAACTAGTTATTAAGACCAGGGTTGAGTTGATACCTGTTCCCTGAAGTGTGTGAGGCCAGGTAAACAAGTTCTGCATTGAGCTGAGGAGAGCTTTTCCACACCAGACCAAGTTAATCCACTTCCATGATGGTCTGCTGGGCATTCTGGGCATAGTGTGGCCATGTTAGGAAGATGGGTAATTCCCAGCTTGGAAGTGAGTTGTTTCTAACAGTTGGCTTTCAGATCTGCTGGGGAGCTCTCTTGAAATAGTTTCCCGTGGAAGCTGTTCTAGACAAATCACTGTCTCATTAATAACATGGCTAAAAACTATGATATTTACAGTAGCAAAAAAACTTAAATTCATGTTAGGAGGTACTCTCCTTGCCATCTGACTCTCCAGGCCCTTGGAAGTGGGAAGTGTTTGGTGGTGACTTTCGCATCAAGGTCTTCTAACAGATACCATATGAATCATAATTTAGCCAATAGGTATTTTAGTGTCAGTCACAATCTCACCCTACATTTCCTAAACCCCTAAGGTACTCGGGCGCTCTACCCATAAACCCCTTGGCCAGAGAAAGAAGCCCTAATGCTGCACTTCCTTGTTACTTAGAGTGCTGCTTGTGGGGCATCTGGCTGTCCCCTGTTTGTCACGGGATGATCAGCCATCACCCCACATCTCAGGCCTCCTCACCAGGATGCGCCTCCCTTTCTATCCACCACCAGGAGTCCCCCACCTCCCCACCCCTGCCCAACTCCCACCCCAAAATGGATGGCTTTGGAAAGATGCAGAGGCTGATAACAGGGTAGAATGTCAATTGTGATCCGAGAGGGTGGATCTTCTGGATCAGGGACCATTCGAGTGACATGGTTTCCATGGCAACTGGCTGCTGGCTTGAATTAAGACCGCCATCAGCTGTCATTGCCGTGACAAGGCCTCTGTCTTCAGGCAGAGCGTTCCTCCTGTCCCCTCACTGAGTGGACGTGTGCCAGCTCCAGGGAGAAAATCCCCAGCAACTTCTCAGTTGCTCTCATAGCCTGGGATCCAGAAGAACCGATCCCAGGGGGACTCCATTTCCCAGCTGGGTCTCCTGGGCAGCTTTCCTGGAGTGTTAGCCTGGTTGGGGCATGGGCTGGTCTCTCACCCTGTGGCAGGGTAATGGGAGTGCAGAGTTAGAGGTAAAAGAGGGCCTTCCTCTTTCCTTATCTTTCTCAAATGTTTTTTTCTTGCTTGCTATTGTTTCTAACATATTTATAAGATGATTTTTTTGTTGTTGCTTTGTATGTCCCTCCCCCACAGTATAACCCCTGTTTGCACTGTATTTGATGTTGGTATAATTTGGGGAGGGGAAGGAAAAAGAACAAATTGTTTAAATAGGGATACAGGTGGACCCATTGCACCAATGAGATGTACAAGACGTTATGTCGGAAAACGAATTTTACAACTTTGGCATGGGGTGGGGTGGAGGGAGGGGCGGTAGAGATGGGAAGGGATGGGAAGGGGAAACAAAGGAGGAGGCAACAATGCTTGATAAGAAATGTACTCATTACCTTGCCCATGCAATTGTAACCCCCTGTACAGTATTTTCACAATAAAAAAAAAAAAAAGAGGGCCTTCCTCTTTCCCTCCCACTTTATTCCATCGTCCTCTCCAGACGCGTTTCCTCTTAGTTAATGGGGTACAAGAAAAGAGGTATTGTAAAGAAGGGCCTCCTGGACCACACAGGTCCAAGAGAAGAGGTTGCCCCCGCCTGGATATCTGGTCGACCTGTCACCTTCAGACCCAGCCAGAGCAAGTGTTCCTCTCCGTTGCTTAATGGGTCCTCCTTGTTTTCATTTCTTGGAAGGAGAAACCAAAGAACAGAAAGGGCCGTCTCTTTTTCAAGAATAATATATACGCGATCCAAGTTGAATAGTATTTGTCAGTATTTTTTTCTGAAAATTCAGAGACATACATACAAGAACAAGGTATTTAAATAAACCTTTTGAAAATGAAAGACTGTGTCTGGACCCCTGACTGTCAGTTAGTGCCTTCGCATTCGGGGTGACTGGGCCAGTCACCCCTCAGCAGGGACTCTCCCTCCCCAACACGGAGGCCCAGCCCTGCCCCAGCACTGCAGTTCCTCCTGGCAGGGTCAGCGAGCAGAGGACCAGGGACGCGGTTTTCTCAGGGCAAAGCCACCCCAGAGCCTGAAATCCTTAGAGGATCCCACGGCAGGAAAACACACTGATAATCCGCCCAATGAGGCCAGTGAAGGTCTTCTTATGGAAAACGGGAAGAGCAAACACCTGTGCAAAATCAGAGCTCTGGGGTGATACGCTGAGGAGGGAGGGAGCGAGAATCTATAGTAATCCCAGGCATACGGGGTGTGTATGTGTGTGTGTGTGTGTGTGTGTGTGTGTGTGTGTGTGTGTGTGTGTGCGTGTGTGCGTATGCGTGTGCATGTGTGTGTGTGTTTGTGTGTGTGTGTGTGTGTGTACCTATGTATAAATGTGCACCTTTGATGAAGTCAGCCACCGTTTCGCCTTGGTTGGGAAATGAAATGATTCAGACATCACTCCTGATTTCTCTCCTGCTGATGCTAAGCATGCTATTACAGCTCCAAAAGGACAGAAAGGTTCTCTATCTACGTTGTCCAAGATGGTGCTGTTAGCCACATGTGGCTGTTTAAATTCACTAAAATTGAATAGTTTTACAGTTACACCCGTCATATTGCAAGTGCTTAGTAGTCACCACCTCCCCTCCTGGACAGACAGGTGTATAATCTTCTGAGGAAAGCGGTCAGACACTATGCTGGCTATTTTAACGAGGGATTAGAAGGGAAGGCCCGCGCCATAGGTTCACATTTGGCCCTGTCTTCCCCCAAGGCAGGCTATTACTATAGTGCTGGCTGATTCCTGGATTCATATGCTCAAGGCAACCAGGAAACACAGGCTCCATTCAGTGTCCTATCCATTCCTCCAGAATATTCTAGAACTTTCCATTGCAGGGAAGGATGGAGCCCAGAAACCACCTGGGAAGGCAGCAGCTGCCCCACACCTGACAGAAGCCAGAGCCAAATGTCATCATCCCCGCTACCCAGACCCAGCCCACACTCACCAGAGCATTTCCACACCGGGCCCTTGTCCTTGGACCCACATAGCAGCCCAAAGGATTCCTCACCGGCTCTCTCATCTGTCACAGGCTAAAGGGTTTGTTTTTTCCCTCCAAATACCTTTGTGGACAATTGCACAACGTGACATTTGATTTAAGAATGGCAGCACACTGGTCGGGCACTGCGGTTCATGCCTATAATCCTAGCTACACAGGAAGTAAGGATCAGAGAATCGTTATTTGAGGCCACGCTGAGGGAAAAAAAATATTCTTGGGACACTCCCCCCCCCATCTCAAACAATAAAAAGTGCTCAATAAGTGGCAGGTGTTATTAAGAAGAAATAGAAGGAAAAAGTCACAATGAGTATTGTGTCCTAGAAATCAGAAGAGAATAAACTTTCCAAAAGAAAGCAACAGTTTATAGAGTCAAATGATGTAGACAGCCAAGCGGTGGTACCCACTGGAATCCCAGCTACTAGAGAGGTGGAGATCATAAGAATTGTGATTTGAGGGTAGCCTAGGCAAAAGTTAGTTAAATCTCATCTTTAACTAAACGTGGGTATAGTGGAACACATCTGTAATCCCAGCTACATGAGAGGGACAAATGGGAAGATCACAGTCTAAGGTTTCTGTATATGAAAAATAACAGAAGAAACAAGGCTAGTGTTGTGACTCAAGGGGTAACATTCTTGCCTATGAAACAGAAGTTTCTGAGTTCAAATCCAAATGCTGCCCCTTCCCCAAAAGATGCAGAAATAGCTCTAATGAAAGAGGACATCTTCTCGACTTTTTTTCTCTTTGGTCCATTTGTGAACCATAATAATACAGTTGACAATTTGCAGGAAATAAACGTTAAAGTTGGTTAGAGATAGATTCTATTAACAATAACAAAAGAGAACCATTTTGAATGAGATTATAAAGATTTAAGATCCAGGCCACTGTCTTCCATTCCAGAGGGCTTTATGATACATAAAGAATGCTTTCTATCTTCACAATTGATCCACCTTATACAGGAAGAAAACAAGACCCACGGAAGGGAAGCCTAGCGCACAGAAGCCTGGGAGGGACATGATTCTTCACCTTTGTGCAGACGCACCTCCTTGTGGTAGGAGAATTATTAAATGCAACCAGGACTCTTGCTCTGGCTGGTTAAGTCCCCAGTTGGCTCTTACAGATGGTGGGCAGGAAGCCTGTCTGCCACCTTAGCCTCCTCTAATTACACCTACTTTACTCGCTAACATAAAGATCTATTTTCATTGCATTTCCCTCTCTTAGGTAAAGTACTATTACAATACTATTAATTTGCTAATTTTATCCTGATAATTCCAGGCAGTCTCTCTTTTGTAGAATGGGCTTTTATGGGCTAGCCTGGGAACCTAACGTCTCTTCCAGGTAGTGCAATGTTGCCTGATCAACTACCAACTGCTAGCTGGCTGGAAGCTGAGCTGGACGCTGCCAGTTGACTCACCAGACGATGTCACCCATGAAGGAAGAAAAGTGGGAAAACCCATCCCCCAGAAATTCCCTGTAGGGAAGAAAGTAAAGTGGTGCTGAAGTTGAGAGGCTCCTGGTGAGACCATGCTGCCACCTGCTGGCCATGCCTAGGATAGCAAGCCTCTTGGACCTGGGTGGCAGGCCTCAGTGGTTACTGATCATCAGCTATTGACACAAACTCTCTCCTGATTCTCTTTGCTGCCCTGGTGGAGGGCTTAAGGTAATGAACTGAACTTTTTTTTTCCTAGTGGAAGACCCTTTCTTGTGACTGAATAAATTTTGCCGGGCGCTTTTCACCATTTACTTGTTACTTTGCTTTGGCCGTTCTGTTCCTTCATTTGCTTCTTCCACAACCCACACTTGGTCCCTTTTCCTTTGAATCACATTTGTTTGACTCTGTCTTTCTCCCAGCCTCCATAAGTACTTTCTAGCTGTAATAACCCTTGGATTCCTGAGAATTCTAGACTATAAAACAGAGCCCTGAACCTCATTTGATAGACAAACTGTGACCAGGCCCCACAGAACTGCTGCCAAAGCCACCCCGTTCCAAACTCTACTCTGCAATGACTGATGGGAACTTCCGCCTTCAAGGCTCATCACCCTCAGATCCTGGTGACTCCTCCTTAAGATTTCTTCTCTTGTCCTCCTCCCCTGAACCCCCATCTCTGCCACTGGCCAAGAAACTCATTACATCTTTCCTAAGCTATTAAAATGCCCCTAAGCTGATGTGTGAACTTCCATTCTTTCCCTAACCCCACTCCAATCTGCCCAGAGATGATATAGTTTAATGGGTGCAGGGCACAGCTGAATAGAAGTCATCATTTCTAATGTGCTGTAGCTCAGTAGGGCAACCATGGTTGACAATGATTAATTGTGCATTTCAAAGTAGTTAGGAGAGAGGATTTTGAATGTTCCCAACACAAAGATGTGATAAATGTCGGCGGTGATGGATATGCCAATTACCCTGATCTGATCATGACACACCACATACCCATCATCAAATGGCACACTACCCCATTAAATATATGCAATTATAAGATGGTAATTAAAAATAAAAATACCTCCTTTAGAATGTATTCACAATATTGCCACTAGACTGCTTCCAAGATCCATACTATGCCAAGGTTTTAAAACCTTGAGCGGGTGGCTCACGCCTTGAATCCTAGCTACTAGGGAGGCTGAGCTCTGAGAATTGTGGCTCAAAGCTAGCTGTGGAAGGAAAGTCCATGAGACTCTTATCTCTGACTAACTGCCAAAAAAGGCAGAAGTGGAGCTATGGCTCAAGCAGGAGAGCACTAGCCTTGACACAACAGCTCAGTGACAATGCTCAGGCCCTGAGTTCAAACCCCAGGATCGGCACCAAAGTAAACGCTCTGACCCTCCTCCACTGTTCAAATGCTTCCGTGTGGGCTGTGGCTTTCACCGCTGGCTGTGTGTTATCGTCTCCCGAGTCACTTTGAAAAGCTTAGTGTTCAGCCCTCACCTACGACCCACGGAAGCAGTATCAAGCAAGAGGACACATCAGAGCCCACACAACTCAGAGCCACTCAACTGGTCTGACAAAAGCAAGACCTGCGGCCTGAGACTTCTCCCCCAGGCTCTCCCGCCCACCGTCCCCTAAGCTCCGCATACGCCACTCTCTCCTGTCTTTACTCCTAAAAGCATTGGCTCCCAGGTAGGTCTGGTGACCCTTCTTCCATACCTAGTCCTGACTAGTCACTCCCCGCCCCCCAGGGCCCACCTCCCCAAATGCTCCCACAGCCCTGCTGATTCCATACTGTCTCCCCACAGTCCCGTGACACAGAGGGGCTGGTTTTGCTCACCGCTCCCTTGCTCGTGTCTGGCATGGTGCGGCGTATACACGTGTCGTACACAAGAGTACACAATGCTCTACCAATTTTTACCCAATGTTGGTCTGACTTCTGTCCCGGCTCCTCTGGGGCCTGGCTTACTGGTTATCCCTCCTCACTGAGCTCTTGTTTGCTTTGTGTTTTCCTAAATGGGAAGGCTTTCTTTCTGTAAGTTTGTAACCTGGCTCGAAGAAAAGCATTTGGCCTTCTCTGAAAAGCAGATGCACCCCAAAACACATTCCAGGGGCCCGTGCTCAGCCACCCGATGAGAGCAGCAGGGCTGTCACGTGGAGATGTTGTCAGGCACAGAGGTTCGGGCTTGGAATGGTTTCTTTGCAAGCAAATAAAACAAGCTTGGAAAATGAGTTGTCCAGACTTCCTCACCTGCACAGGAGGACCTTCAAAGGCCGGGGGAGTCTCCCACGCCATCTTCTCCCCCTGTGGCAGCATCCATACAGCAAGCAAGAAAATGCAAGAGGCAACTCAGTTTTGCCCACAAGTCTCCTTCAGGGGAGCACTGGAGAAACGCTGGGGTCAACGGATGTGGGGTGTGCACGCTGCAATCTGCGGTCACCAGAGTCCTTCAGAGCACAGACAGCATCACCCCTCTTTTAGAGCTGCTCAAGGCAAGGGCACCCCGCCAGCAGGAGGCCCCAGCCATGAAAGAGAGCCCAGCAATCCAACTTTTTTTTTTCTTTTGTCGGTCGTGGTCCTGGGCGCTGTCCCTCAGCTCTTCAGCTCAAGGCGAGCGCTCTACCACTTGAGCCACAACACCACTTCCGGTTTTCTGGTGGCTCATTGGATAAGAGTCTCACAGGCTTTCCTGCCCAGGCTGGCTTTGAACCTCAATCCTCAGATCTCAGCATCCTGAGTAGTTAGGATTTACAGGTGTGAGCCACTGGTGACCGGTTTACCAATACAACTTTTAAAGGGCACATCTGGCTCACGATCTGTAATCCTACTCAGAAGGCTGAGGATTGCGGCTCAAAGCCAGTCCGGGCTTGCAGATCCAAGAGGCTCTCAAGTCCAATTAACCAGCAAAAAGTCAAAAGTGAGGGTGTGGCTCAAGTAGTATAGCCAGCCTGGAGTGAAAGCAAACAAACAACTAAGCAAGAGCTTGAGGCAAAAAAAACAAAGTCATGGCAAGAAGCTTTGTTACAAACCAAGGCCACAGCCACCATGCTGCTTCCCCAGCCCTGGATCTGAGCCACTTTGCCAAGGCGGCAGATCCCGTCTAAAACACCCGGCACCACCCCTTCCTAGGACTAGCTCAAGAACTCTAAACTGCAGAGGGAAGAACTCTCATCAGCTGGAGGAGATGACTGGGTACTGACAAGCCACACTGAGGAGCCTTGAAGACACATGAGCGAATCCACTCAGGTTCAGGCCCTAATGCTGAACAAAACAACGAAACGTGCCTGGAGCCAGTGGCTCAAGCCTGTAATCGGTCTCAGGAAGCTGAGACCTGAGGATCGCTGTTCAAAGCCAGCCTGGGCAGGTAAGTCCATGAGACTCTTCTCTCCAATGAACCACCAGAAAACCAGAAGTGGTGCTGTGGCTCAAGTGGTAGAGCGCTAGCCTTGAGCTGAAGAGCTGAGGGACAGCGCCCAGGCCCAGAGTTCAAGCCCCACGACCGACAAAAATTAAAAAGAAAAATAGAGTGTGGATTGGCATTCACCTGGAAATCCAACCTGGAGAAAGCTAAGCAATAACCTACACCCCCAGTCCTGAAGGGGAGACATTCATCTTCCGTCCTACCCATGCACCCCTGCTGCGTCCCAAATACCGTAGTTTTCCATCGCCCAGGTGAGCCAGCACAGACAGCCAGCTGCCGCCGCAGTGAAGCAATGGCAGCTTCACCTGCGCTCAGGATCAATGCACAGTTCAAGTGCGCTTACCATGCAACAGAACACAAGGGAACGTTTTTAAATCAAGTGGTTTATTGGTGTGTTTGTTTTCTTGAATAGGAATTTTAAGTTACTTCAATGGTCACTGACTTGACTGTAGAAACCTTCCAAAATGATAGCAAACAATCTGCTACACCAAGAGTCCGGTCTAAGGGCCACGTGGTGCGTAGCTTAGAAAACCTAGGGGGTTGAGCAGGGTGGAACCCAAGGAAAGGCACGTGAAGGGGAGTCGGGGAAGAGGTTGAGTAGCAGAGCCAAATTATTTAAAGTCAATATGCACAGTAATTTATTTGCAACACATGAAGATGAAGATCTGGGAAGGTGAATATGTGAATGGCTGAGGGGTGGAGCAGTGGCCATAATAAGCAAGCCTCGGTTTCCAGCACGCTGAAGAGTAGCGGGAACTGAGCCTAAATGGGCGGCTCAGCCCCTCCATTCCTCCCATAATGCCAGCAATTAAAAGGGGACAGGATTTACACATTTCCCCTCAAAACCTACGGGGTTGGAACTGGAGCAATATGCATCAGGTTGCCTTAGCCCTGGCTCCTGAATATCTGGTTCTTCTTTCTAGAAGGATCGGTATTAGGCAAGCTTTATCTCTAAACACCAATTTCTAGAGCTTTCTAATTGATGAGGCGCTGAGTGATTGATATTTTTCCCCTAATCTAATCTGTCTACGGCTGGGAAACCTTGCAGGTCCAATATCGTCCCTTCATCCACCCATGCGGTGAAACGATGATGTTACTGATTTGCAGTGTGCCCCGCCCCCAGTAGAGATGGGTGAACTGCAACATGGGAGACCTCTAAGCTTCAACGCATGGCGACAGTGTGTTCTGTGGACAATCCCGCTCTCACAGAATCCAGAAGCTATGAGCCACCTCAGTCCCCAGTCGCCACCACCCCGCCCGCCCCAAGCTCACACCGCCCAGCCCCAACCCCAGCTGCTAGTCTCCTGCCAAGATTGCTCATAGGTATCTTCAGAACATTCTCATCTTTCCTCCCAGTGACCTCTTCTTTCTGCCAGAGAAACGATCTCGGCTGTAGCCATGAGGGCGGATTTTCAGTTCCACATAAGGGATGGAGAATTCATGTCCTTTCCACGGCTCCCAGTTCACCCCCTAGGAGAAAGAAAATGTTTCAAGTTAGAGTATAATAGAACCCTCATTTGCCAGGGAGACGTCTCTCTCTCCCTCTCTCTCCCTCCCCCGTCTCTCAGTATAAAACATCTCTCTTCATTGGTGTCTCTCTATATGCCCCCCCTCCTTTCTAGCCTCCTCGCTTCTTCCCCCATAGGATCCGGGACTTGACAATCACATGTGGAAGCACGCGCCCTCTGCTGGGCAGCTGGGTTCACACATGCTGAGAGGACCAGACGGGAAGCTGGGCTCATGAAGGGATCCCGGGATGTGGTGAGGCCAAAGCAGCCACCAAGTCAACACAGAGGTCAACCTGGCCAACAATCGGCAAAACAGTTTCCTCTCACTCTTTGCCTTTCCGAAAAATTAAAGGCAAAAATAAACGTATTAATTGGCCAATTGTGTAAAATCATTTTCAATTTAGACTGTTTAGATATTAGCTCTGGGGGTGACGAATAGGCGGCTCTAAACTAAATTTCATTTTATGTCTTTTGACTGGTGAGCGCAATAATATTTAATTCACTTAATAACCTTGCAACCTGGCCAATAAACAGCCCAAGTGACCAATTTTATGTATTTTAATTTGTGAGGTAAATAATAAACAAGAAGCTAAATGTCTTGCAGACTGTGAAGAGCTCATTAACCAGATGAATGTCTTTTATTAGCAAATACGGGGCTGGTTTAGGGCCTGCTGGCTGCGCATTCCAAATATTTGATCTCTGATCACCAGCGTCTCCGCGCCGTTCCTCACGCTACCACCATAATTCATGAGCTACCTTCCTTGGCGTCCCTAGGGGTGAGTTTCTTCTTCACTTTGAAAAAACTTACACAGATTTGGAGTCCTCATAGCCTGGTGAGGACCAGAGTAACCAAAAATGTACCTGGACATTGAAAGGGCTAACATCTACAATAGTATTGGTATAGGCTTCCTGAAGGCCAGGCTCAGGACCTACCATGGGAAAATCAAAACCCAGGGTGGATTTGTGGAGGGCAGAGGATGCAATTTCGAGAAGCTGGGAGAGGATGCCTGGTGGCTGATAGCATCAAGATGATATAGAGGACCGTGGAGGTTCAAGCAATTATGGATAGGAAAGCTTCAGAGCCAGGACAGAAGAAGAACCTGAGGGGCTCTCAACCGAGGGCATACACAGATACAGAGACAGGTCCAGCACAGAGTTCTGCACAGACTCGGGGTGGCACCAGCTAAAGTGGATCCGAGAATGGGTGTTTGAGCTAAGGCAGAAGAACTGCCTGTTTCCCTGATGAACATGGGACTAGAGAGAAATGATTGTCGTTTCATGAGGAGAACTGCTAGAAGCATGTCTGGCTATGGACTGAATGTGTCCTTCACTAAAAATGTATTTATAATTTGAGACCCTTGCCCACAATGAGACAGGCCTAAGAAGAAAGTCTTTGGTAGATAATAAATTTAGATGAAATCATGAGGACAGAACCCCCCCCATGAGACATAAGAAGAGGAAGAGAATTGTCTTCTCTCTCCCACTTTTTCCCGTCTTTCTCCCCCACTGCACCGCTATAGAGGATACAGCTAGATGTACAAGCTGCAAAATGATAGTAAGCCAGGAAGTAAGGGCCTACCAAGACTGAAATCTGCTGGCACTTTAATCATGGATTGTCAAGCCTCTAGAACTATGAGAAATATACATCTGCTGCTCGAATCCCTGGATCTGCGGGGTTTTGTTATAGCAGCCCAAGCTGATTACAACAGCATCGATGTAGGAACTGATCAAATGGATGTGTGTGACCCACAGCACTGGTCTCTATGTGGCAAGGGTCCACCCAATCGTTCCATTCATCTCCAGTCTTGGAATACAGAGCCTACCGAGCACCAGCAAATGGGCAGGGAGGGCCATGATGACTTCAGAGCTATAAAGCCTGGATCACCAGGTGTCACTAGAAGCCTCAGAAAGAGGAGCCACCAGACTCGCCTGGAGAGTACCCCTAAGGGAAGTGAATGTGGCCAGAGCTCGGGACAGAAAAGATGCTTGCCTGTCCCCTACCTCGCTATGCTTGGTCTCCCCGTATTTGCCATTGGGGTTGGCCAAGTGGCAGTTCTTATACCACCAGCCACCATGATGTGTCAGGGCACAGTTGCTGAGGGCAATATCGTTGTCTCTGTCAAAAGTTGTGAACTTCCATCCATTGTGGTAAGTGAGAGCATCCCCTGTGAGAGAGAAGAAAAGGGAGACGGTCAGCAAAGTCTTCCCAGAAGAGGACCTGTAGGGAAACATCTCGACGCGGAAGTGCCAAGGATCCACTCAGCTATGGCTCAGGCACTCACTGCTGCCTCAAAATGGCCAAAATGAGAGGATGGCACAGGATCTCTTGCTGATTTCTCCAGCAGCCTCAGCAACATTGTCACTTGGAAGTTTCTAATCACATCAAATGTCTGACCACCCCTCACACAAGCATTCCCTCTGTCTTCCTCCCTCTGCATGGCAATCCCTCTCCTCCCAACCAACCAAACCTAAACGCCCTGCTTTATATCCTTGCTTCCATCTTTCCTTCCCGAATCGCTCACACATCCGGCCTCTCTGCCTGCGGCCGCCACTCCTAACCTCTTCTCCTCTCTGTGGGGCTGTGTTAACCCAACAGCCTTCTTTCTCTCTGGCTTCTCTTCTTCCAGCCCTCTGGAGATCAAAGGCTGCATCCCATCCTCTCCATCCTAAATCCTACTTCTGACACGTGGAGGGGAATTGCACCTGCTGATTTTACAGGCTTGTTACTCCAAGGAACAATCTCTGATCCCACAGACCCACCAGGAACCTTCCAGGTCTGGAGTGAATAGCTCCTCCTTCTACAGTCAAACCCTCTCCTCCTAAGGACGAGGATTCTCCTCACTGAGCCTCCTAACACTTTGTCTCTCTGTGTTTCACACACACACACACACACACACACACACACACACACACACACACACTCCTCCTTTTCTCTCTCTCTCTCTCTCTCTCTCTCTCTCTCTCACACACACACACACACACACACACACACACCGAGCGTCTAGAGCCCTTCAGGGACATGTGTACAATTTAGTGCTTCATTACATCCTGTCTGGAATCTGCTTTAATTATTTTACTTGCACTGCACCTATTTCCCTCTCCCATTTGTCATCCCTTTGTAAGTTTACTTTCTCTTTCAGCTCGTCAAAGGCAATAAGGGCCCCTATCAATCATAAGCTTAATCAAGTTCAGTCCCTGCAATAATGGCGCTTACATTTATATCTACTCTCTGAGTTCATGGCTCATCTTCACACGAGTACTCTCACTGGACTCTCACAGGCCCATGAGAGGGCAGGGCAGCTCCCGGTTCCATGAGAAAATGAACTCATAGGGGTTAGACACTGACTGGGTACTTGTTAAAACAGGTTCCACGGTCCACAAATGGCAGAGCCAGAACTCAACTGATCCTGAGATTCTTAAGACACAAGCTTCTGAGAAACTGATTCACCTGTAGCTGCCTTAATCCAACAGGAGACTTCAATTACACTAGCAAAAGCAGGTCATCTCTAATAGCCTACACCAGTAGTTCCCTCATTGTGGTCTTGGGACCAGCAGCATTATAACACCAAAGAACTTGTTAGAATGGGAATTCTCAAGCTCACCTCTGCTCTACAGAACCAGAAAGTACATTCATGGTCAGGGGGTGGGGGGAGCCCTCTTAATGATTCTTATACATGCTGCAACTTTTTCACTCATTCAGAGAAATATATCCTGGACACCTGCTATGCGCTAGCACCTTGCTAGCCTCCGAACATATAAAAATCAGGAAGCAGCAGAAGCTGTGGACCAAGTGGTAGAGCACTAGCCTTGAGCAGAAAAATATTAAGAAACAGTGCCCAGGCCATGAGTTCAAGCCCCAATACCAGCACAAGAAAGGAAGAAAGAGAGAGAGAGGAAGGAAGGGAGGCAGGAAGGGAGAGAAGGGAGGGAGAGAAGGGAGAGAGGGAGGGGAAGGGAGGGAGGGAGAGAAAGGAGGGAGGAGAAGAAAGAAAGAAAGAAAGAAAGAAAGAAAGAAAGAAAGAAAGAAAGAAAGAAAGAAAGAAAGAAAGAAAGAAAGAAAGAAAGAGAGAAGAAAGAAAAGCAAGCAGAAGTCTTTGTTCTCAAAATTTAGTTGGGATGAATGGAGAGGGCAGATGAAGCGCTGGTAGGGCCTGGAGGTATAGCTCAGTGGTAGAATGTGTACTTTGCAAATGTGAGGCCCTAGATTCAATTCCTGTGCATGCTCCCATGCACGTGCATGTGTACACACACACACACACACACACACACATCGTAGCACTTCATGCTTAGGGAAGGTCTCAATTTCCGCCTCCAATTCTGTCATCCCAACAGCAGCTGATTTATGTCTCACGCAACAAAGGCAAGAGATGTGAGCACAGGGTCAGAGAGTCCTCCACTCTGACACACCAAAACAGCCTGTCCTCATTAGTTTTTCCAATCAAAAAAAGCATAGTCACTCTTCCACATATATTTCCTCCTCTCTCCAGACTGCTTGCAGATAGTTAACTACAGCTTGAAATAACACATAATGACTCCCCTCGTAACATCTTCTTAATGAACACAGCTCCTCTAACCAGCACTCCAAGTTCCCAGAGATGATTTCTAAGATCTAGGCAGAGACTTTTGGGGTTATCTAACCTTGAATACTGGTGAAAAAGAAAAATAAAGCAGGGCCCAGCCTATGTGGGACACTTTGTTTATTTTTTTTTGCAGATAGATTTCCTACCTAGTAAGAACTGAAGTCTTTCTAATGTTCAGAGTACAGATGATGACTATATGCACGAAGCAGGAAATAACTTTACTCAGGTCATGGCAGTATTCTGATTTATTTTCAAGCTTATCTTTCTAAGTAAGACAAAGTTAAGCCAGGTGTGGTAGTGCATACCTATAAATTTGCTCTGGGGATGCCCATGTCCTGGTTCTAATCAGAGTTTTAAAACCTTGCAGAGCTACACATGCCTAGTGACTTTTAACTGTTCACCTTCTATTTGAAGGCCTATCTGCTCCACCCCCACTCCTCTCCCCCTGCCCCTCCCACACATGAGCCTTTCCGCATACAGAAGAAAAGCTAAAATTCCTGATTCCACCACTGTAATTCAGGATTTAAAGTAGGAATGGCAGTACCCATGGGAAGACTAGATGGCTGCCTAAATGCTGTGTGATTTCAGTCTCCCAAGGCTTCCTATTAAAAAAAAGAAGAAGAAGCCATCCTCCACTGATTGGCCCTGTTGGCCTGAACAACTTTCAAATGGGAATTATTCCCTAACCACAGTTAAAATGTAAATTAAGTACCTGGGAGGAGGATCATATTAATTCATAAATATGTTGACTCCTTTTCATTCACTTTCCTATTAGCATCAGCTCATTTGTTGGATTGTGTGAAATAGACCCAGAAAAAGAAAAATTTAACAGTGATGAAAGGAAAGGGGAATGAACAGCCCGCAGCCCGCAAGACTGCCCTTGGGAAGTCCCAGAGAGGAGACCAAGAAGGGGGATGTATTCTTGGGGAGACACAGGGGCCAAAAGGACATACTAGCTCCATCAACTGTCCAGAAAAAGGGACGATAAATGGAGACTGAGTGTTTCTCAAGCCTGAGAAAGGCTGAGGCTACCTGATGAGTGTAGTTAAGAATAGAGAAGAGCTCTACTGATAGACACACACACACACACACACAAAAATTACACATCTCTGAGAAATTCTGTATTCGTCATTGGCAAGTCCAGATCAAGTGCCTGCACTCAGGTTCTGTTCGTAGTCATCTGCCGTCAGAGGTCTCTGAGTGGTTGATTTTGAGAAGCCGTCAAAAGTACATCCCGATCCCTTGCTTGCACGCAGCCCTTGCTCTCCCATAGGCTCCTGCAGACCCAGGGAGCTCTTCCCACCTGGGTGAGCCCTTCTTTCTGAGCCAACTCCAGCCTATGTCCTGTAGGGAGCTTCCTCCTGCCACCGACTCCTCAGTTTACCCTTCTCTACTCCCTGGCTCTTCCTTCACTTGCCTGACTGCAAAAGTTACCCCGCATACATTTTTTTAATGCCAGCCCTGGGGCTTGAACAAAAGGCCTGGGTGCTGACTCTGAGTTTTTCTTTTGTTTTTTTGTTTGTTTGTTCTCAAGGTTAGCACTCTACCACTTGAGCCCCAGTTCCGCTTTTGGCTTCTATTGGTTAATTGGAGAGAAGAGTCCCATAGATTTTCCTGCCTGGGCTGGATTGGAACTGTAATTCTCAGATCTCAGTCTCCTGAGTAGCTGGGATTCTCGGTGCAAGCCACCAGCTGGCTTGCCTTGTATTTTTATTCCTCTCTTTACATGTGAGTCTGAGAGAGAACGTGCCTTACCCAGTCAGCTGGTAGCATGTTCCCACAGATATTCCAAAGTCAGAATGGTCTTACTTTGTCTAAATACAGACTTTAAAATGTTAACATCAAAGCAATAAACTCATGACATCTCTTCTTAAATAAAATATTTCCTGGTATAACTCCAGCATTTTAGTCACGATGCTGAATTTTGCTCATTTCCTTCACAATGAACACAGTGTCAACTGGCTGAAATCCAATGAGCAGCTAATGGAGGCTAAAGATTCCCTGCTTTCAGCGAAAGTGTTCATTGCCGTGGTCGCGGCTGTATTAAGCTAATGAGACCTATAGTTCTTATTATTTGAATCAGCACTTTCATTTTCTGTCTTTAAATAGTCACGCGCACACACGCACACACACACACACACACACACACACACACACACACACACTGCTACACAAAGATGACAGCATTACTGAAGCCTAACAAAAATTTGAACACATCATGGAATGTGTCACAGACACTCACTTCCTCAGCTAATTTGTCAATCCTGAATCAATAGAGCATAATAGGAGCATGTGGTTGAGGAATGGTCATTAATTGTAACAACTTGGTTTACCCTCACCCTTGTCCAATAGAACCATTCTCTTCCACGGAACAATATTTTGATCCCCAGATACCTGGTAACCCAATCCTCGAACAACAAAAAGCAAGCGCACCGTGGGCGTGAGGACGCCCTCTTACCTGCTGTGCCCCTGTATTTCCCGACTGACAGCTTATATCGTTCCTTGCTGGAGGCCACTTGGAAGAAATCATACACAGCGTAGGCAGATTCATTGGAAGTCTGTAAATCCGCCCTCACCTCATACCGGGTAGGAGTGCCAGTGGTGAGATTGTGCAGCTTGTCAAGGCCTGAAAGCAAGCAATGGAATTTCAATAGCCTATCAATCTGTGTGTGTGTGTACATGCACGCAGGCATGCACACGTGCACATGCACATGTGCGCACACACACGTGCACTCGCCATTTGCTTCTGAGATTCATAGGGCCAAAAGTCACCTTAGCCTTTGTCTTTTCTGCTAATAAGAGTGAGGATTGCTAATTTCCTTGCCCATTTATTTGTTGGCACTGTTAACGCTAATGACCTCTATGGAAGGGCTCTGTAGAATAGCTCTGCCCACTGGCTCCATCTCTCTGAGACAGAAGCAACTCTATTTATCATCCACACATCTCACAAATAGAAGAGCAGATCAGCTACTCATTCTGAGCCCTGTAAAGAGATCTTGGTCTCAGGCAAACTGTAGATATCATCTACTCCATTAGACACTGAATGAGCAGATTTCATGTTCTGAATTTCGCATTTCCCAACTGATGCTTTTTTGGCTATTTCACTGTCTGAACATCTGCTCCAGAAGAGAGCAGAGGGAGAAGGGGAAAACTAATACCCACAAGGTCTGGCATTACTAGCAGAATCACAGGGGCTGCTAGAAAGTCATCCCAAGAAGAAGCCAGGATCCCAAATCAATGAACTCTTTCTATTACTGTGATTTGTTGTTGTTTTTAAAGAAAAAAAAACTAGGCCCCAGGCAGCCCTAATAGAGCTTAAATACAGACTAAAATCCTACTTCTTCACAGACCCAGAGTGCAATACGGCCTGCCCACGAACATAGCCACATTTACACAGTGTCACTGTTGCTTGGACATCTCTTGGAATGTTGTAGGCTTCCTCAAGCTGCCGGATCAGCTAGTCAAGAGGGCGAAGAGGAAGTTATCAGCCCTCACACCCAGCTCCTGATTCTTAGGTGTCATACCAAGCCAGAACTCTTTCATGGGATCCCCAAAGCCTTCCACATAGCTCCTCCAACGCTTGAAGAAATCCAGCTGCCCGGTGTTCCGTCTCTGGAAGACCTGAGAAAAGAAATGCAAACCTCACTCTGATCTTCTGATCAGATAACTAAGTAGAAGGGGAATAGTACCTGTATTTCCCAACGTGGTGCTGGGAGATAAGAGGAATCTGCATTACATTGACTTCCTCAAGTAGCTCATCTTCATTTTTTAGAAAGGATCTTAATCAGAGATTCAATATATTTGTCTACTATGACAATAAGTGATCTCTAGATGGTAAAACGTACCTAGTACTTCGCAGAGGATTTTTCCCTTAAGAAATTTCAATTATAGAGCACAGAAAAACTCAGGGAAATAGTTCCTAGTGATGGGTTCTAAAGGACAGAACAGACCAGACTTTTGCTAGTTCTGATCTGAAACCTTCAACAACTATTCAACTCAACTGGGACACGTTGTATTTATATGTTGTCTTTCCTCCCCTGCTCCCCCCAGAATTAGTTCACTTCACTTCTAACGTAACAAGCATTTAATATTTATAGAGAAAAAATTCATCCAACAAGTATTTGTTGTGTATCAACTATGCAAAAAGGCACAATACAAAATGATGTACAAAACCAATAAACCAGAAATGGTCTCTGCCCTTGTAGAGCTAATAGATCAGTAAACAAAATAGACAGACTGAGTAATCAAATAAAAGATGCAATTTAACCATGACAAAGGCTGTGAAGGAAATATACAATAGGATGTGAGAACATAAAACAGGAGAACCTAATCAAGGAGCCAGAAAAGCTCCCTTGGGGAAGTAGCTGAGAGATGCAGGATACGTAAGGGGGGGAAAAAACAACAACAAAGAGTCAGAAGCTAGGTGGTTGGGAATCTGGGTTTGGTTAGGAAGGAATGAGAAGGAAGGCTAAAAAAAACGAGCAAGGGTCAGTGCTGGTGGAGCTTTTTAGTAAGTATGGCTGAAGATGTTGGCCCATTGTAAGAGCAATGAGGGTTATTGATGGCTTCTAGGCTGGAAATGAAACTGTTCATATTTACATATTTCTGAGATCCATCTCTAATTTCAGTGTAAAGAACAGACTAGCCAGGAACAAGAGTGGAAGAGAGGGAACTAGTTAGGAGGCAACTTCAATGGACAGGTGACAGAGGACAGTAGTAGTTTGGATTACCTTACCCTAAGGACAGACAGAAGAAGACAGAAGGTAAACTTGACAGGCAGGATAATAGAACATGAGTGGAAAGAAAAGGGAATCAAACACAATTCTTCCCATTTGGCTTCAAAAACTGGATGACCATTCATTACCACGATCATTCAGAAAGGAGGTTCCAAGAAAGGATAGATTTCATTGTCATGAGCTCATTTGGAGACTTGGTGTGAATTCTTTGCATGTGAATGAAGATGTCACCTTGGCAACTGGATGCCAGGGCTGGAGTTCTGGAAAGACTTTTAAGGTGGGAGTGTATTCTCCAGAAGCCCAGAAGGTTTCCTTTTCAGCTTCCCTTGCAGCTACGTAGAAGCCATGTGATTACTCATAGCACCGAGAGTGTCGCTAGGAGGACAGGATAAACAGGTGAAGTCTTCCATGTTCTCTTCCATTACCACATGCCATCGTGAAGGCTACATGTTGAAATGGCAGAGCCACAGGATAGAAGCAGCCCTAAATCTCTGTGTCACCACTTAGAAGTGAAGTGGCTACCAAACCTACAATAGATATTGTCCACGTGAACAAAAAGGTTCACGTGTTAGATTGTTGCATTTGTACTGTATCATAACCCATTCCATCCCATTGAATATGGAGAGACACTGGAACAGACATGGAGAAATCAAATCAGGGGGAAGGATGAGGTAACATGGCAAGGAAATAGGAGTTAAGAAGTGAAAACAGAAAATGATCCAGGATCAAGACTTAGGTATATTTAATAGACATGTGTACAAGGATGATTTCATTGGGGAGAGAGAAGAAGCAACTAGAACTATAGGAAGAAAACTAGACGCTTGTAGAAGCAGAGAAGCCACTGAGAGACATAATGGTCAATAGTGTCAAATACTAATGAGAGGTGAGGGAATGAGAGAGCAAAACTGGTGCTAGAATTTATGCCGTGGGAATGACCAATGACTTTAGCAAGAGAAATGTAATATAATGTAAACATTAGGGAAATGGAAGGGAGAAGACACAAAAGGCTACCTGCCAGGCCTTGGTGGCTCACACCTACAATCCTAAGGGAGACTGGGATCTGAGAATCCCTGTTTAAAGCCAGCCTAGGCAGAAATGTCCAAGAGACTCTTATCTCCACTAAACCAGAAAAATAGCCAGAAGTGGAGGCATACTCAAGTGATAGAGCACCAGGCCTTGAGCAAAAAGGACAATTGAAAGAAAATATGAGACCCTGAGTTCAAGCCCCAGTACCAGCACAAAAAATAAATCAAATAATAAAATCAAATAGAGAAGCTGGTAATAAAATAATAAAATAGAGAAGCTGTTATTTCTCCTCAGAGCAAACTGGATTCTTTTATATGAAGTAAACTTGAAGAGTGCTTATGACCTGAAAACACTTGGGAACACTCCTGGAGTTGCCACATATAATTCCACTTGAGCATAAAAGCCAAGCTAAAGGCTGTCCTAACCAACCTCACAAGTGACTACCGCTTCCCAAAATCTAGACTTGCTTCTTTCTCTCTGCTTAGTTTCCTTTGTATTCATTCAAATACAGATTTCCCAGCATAAAACCTACTATCTCTGCTTTCTGTCAGCGTATGTCCTGAAGTAAAACACGTGATTTTGAATATGGCCAGGAAAAATTTCTAAATCTGTTTTTCTCTGGGAAGAGTGATAGAGGGAGAGAAGAGAAGAACAGAGAAGCCCACAGCCATGTAGAATCTCCCCTTGGGTGCTCACCTTTGACTCCCTCTGAAGCACCTGTCCAGCTGTGCTGGTCCAAGAAGTGCTGAACTATGGCACCAGTGAGTGGATGGGGGAAAGTTCTAGACTTTGAGACCAGCCACATACCCTCCCTGGCAGGAAGTGGTGAGTCAGTCTTTTGCTCCTGACCTTCGGTAAGTTTATTTTGAAACAGGAATGGAAGCGGGTAAGCAAAGTGGCTAGGAAGACTCAATGAGGTGATCCGTGTCCTATAAAAATGTCCTGTATGTGAGGAAGAGAGCTGCTGAGCAGAGTTTAGAAATAATCACGGAAAATCATTACACACTACATTAGCACTGCTGCTCTCGCCCGCCCTTCTTCTCAAGTGTCCACTGTTAACGCTGCCCTGTTCTTTTGGCTTCCTTCTTTCTTCTTCATTCATCTGCTATCATTCATTTATCAAGCATCTATTGAGTGCTGGCTCTAGGGTAAGTATATGGGATGCCATTTTACAGATGGGCAGTCCAGAAAAAGTAACCAGAGTTATACAACTAGTTATTTAGTGGCTGTGGAAGATCTTCTGACCTTTCAGTTAGAAAGTCTGAAAATACCAACTCTGCCAAGTCTATTTGCCAAATAGCACTTCTCTGACTTGAAGATTTATTTCCTAGCAATGTGCCTAGGCCACTCCTTTCCCGGGACTCTTTCTCTTATACGCTGTGGAATCCTAGGACAGATGGAGGACTGATATTTTTTGCTCCATATCTATCATGTCAAATCTTATTTCCACTCAAGGCCGAGCTTAAGTCCAAGCTCACCCTACTGAGGATGAGTGCATTACAAAGGCATTTGCTTTCTGTCTCTAGCCAATGAGCATAGTGCTCAAGCATAATAAGAGCTTTCCAGGTGATTAAAAAATAATAATAATGTTCCAGCTTAGCCAGAGAAGCTGATTCTGGTGCTCTTCACTGTAGACTTAACTAGCTATGTCCTTGGGTAAGTTAGTTAGCCTTAACAAGCTTCACTCATTTAAATAGATCAAGAGATTAATAATGGAGATGTCAGCTTGTTAATCTATCTCCCACTTCTATTCTCAGCCAAATATACAATCTCCTTAGACTAATACAAAGATTGAGAAGGTACATTAAATGCATATATGAAGATGCTACCATGAAACCCCCCCTTGAAGAGCTAATGTATGCTAATAAAGATCTATATTTTTAAAAAATTAAGTTTACCTGGGCACTACTGCCTCATACCTGTAATCCTAGCTTCTCAGGAGGCTGAGAGCTAAGAAGGGCAGTTCAAAACAAGCCAAGTCAGGAAATCTGTGAAATGCAATTAACCACCAAAAAGCAATAGTAAAACTGCAACTCAAGTGGTAGAGTGCTAACCTTGAGTGAAAAAGCTCAGGGAACATGTCCAAGACCTAAGTTCAAGCCCCAGTACCAGTACAAAAAACAAGTCTCTGCTGATTTAAGATGTCAATAGTCCCTTTGTGAAGGATATGATGGGCTTATATCAGGACTTCTACTGTGAGCTAGATCATTAAATCATAGTAAATCATAAAATAGTTACCCCAGAGTTTGTCACATATAGAAAACAATATGTTATTATTATATCTCAGAAAATATGAGTTTGTACTGTATTGTACCAAGGGACCATTTATACCTCTTGATAAGGCATCCTTAAATGAGCCATTCATAATCCAGTCTATTCTTATTTGGAGATGAAAACACTCAATAACACACTGTTTGAGAATAACAAAACCTCCTTACAAATACGTCTTAAGAGAAAAAAAAATTCTTTACATCTGGTTCTATACCCCGGAGTTGTCTATGCCGAATTTACTCAGTGTCTTGAATGACTAAATCAGGAGTAAAAAAAATCGTAAATTGCATTTAAATGCCTGTGGAAAGAGCCTCTAATGCAGCCCTTAAGACTTTCAAGATGGAAAGCAGCGATGGAAATATGTGAGACAGTTAAGTGTTCCCTGATGTTCTTTCCAGCCTCCCAGCGGCCTTGGTTGCCTCGGGGCAAAGCTCTTCTGCTTGTTCATCAGATTGAGCTCTGGCTGCCAGGACTGAGAAGAATTTCCTTAAAAGGATTTAAAAGCTCAAAAGAGGGGCTAGGCTTGGTGGCTCATAGCTGTAATCCTGGCAGATAGGAGGATCATGATTAGAGGCCAGCCAAAGCCACACACACACACACACACACACACACACACACACACACACACACACACACACACACACACACACACACACAAAGGGTGAGACAAATCTCAAAAAAAAAGAAAAGAAAAGAAACGAGTCTGGGGGAAAGAGGTAGACAGGATGGGGGACAAAGATGAAAGGGGAAACTGATCAAGACATACTGAACACACAGACCTGCTAATTTGAAACTGGGTTTCAATTAAGCTGGGTTTGGTGGTACATATCTAAAATCCTAGCTACAAAGGAGGCAGAGGTAGGAAGATCTTGATCCAAAGCCAGCCCCCTAGCAAAAGCCTCTTTCTGACAAATAAAAGCAAAATGGGGTAGGGGCATGACCTAAGTAGTAGAGTGCCTGCCTAGCAATCAAAAGTCCTCAAATTTACACCCTTGGACCACCACCAAAAACAGTCACACCTTTAGTCCTAACTACTCTGGAAGTTGACATTGAAACCAAGGTTCAAGGACAGCCTATTCAGAAAAGTTTGTGAGATCCCTTCCCAAAGAAGAGTTAGACCTGGTTTATCATAAGGAGATCATGCCCACGAGCATCCAGACAGGAAGTGAGACTCTTAACTCAAAAGCAGTCAACAAAAAACAGAGGCATGGCTCAGCAGTAAGAGCACTTGCTTAACAAACACAACAACTGGAGTTCAAACCATAGTACCACCCCCAAAAATAAAAAGCTCAAAAGAAGCAACGCATCATTAGTTATACTTCAGTAACAAAAGACTCTTCAGTCCAAAACAAAGAAACAAACATAGCAGGTGTCAATGACAGTTGTGGTGGTTTTCAAATGCTACATGTGTTCTGGAGAATGTGATCCTCAGGAGAATTCTACAGAGTCTAAAGAACAATTGAAAAAAAATAAAACAAAGTCCAAAAAACAAGACTTATGGTAGGGTGAGACTGCTGTTGGTTACGATGAGGAGTTGCATTCGCATTTATAAAACTGGGCTCTGGGTTTGACTCATGGTCATCTTCATGGGCAGATGGGCAGATAGATGTAGATGGCAAACTTCTAGGAAGCAGAGTAAGTTTTAGTCTGATTTGCTCACTGCTGGATCTTGAGCAAATAAAATAGGTCCTGACACATAGTAGGCACTGGGTATTTGTGTCATAAATCATGGGTTTCCCAGGTATATAAATCACTTTCTAAAGGTTGCCTTGGGTAAATGTCCCCTTCCCTGTGTGAGCTTGGTTTTTCGAGGGCGAGGCTAGACGGATACCAGCATCCTGGCAATGGTCAATTACAGGCACAATGGCAGGAAATTGGGCTTCGGGCCCAAAGGGACAGAATGCTTAGCGTTACAATGGTGCTGATGAAAAGCAGCAGGTACAGCGCACTGGGTCTGCTCAGGTGGAAGACCTCCCATGTCACGCTCTGCTCTGTTATTTTACAAATCAATTCGGAATTTCCCGCAGCCAAGCCAATGGCTGCCTTTCAGCCATCAGGTGCCACTGTGCAGATAATAAGTTTCTTCATTGCTGCTCATCAGATGGTATCATTTTACCCATGGCTGCTCAAGCATCTTTGGCTTCCCAAATCCCAGAGCAAATGTGTAAATGAGTAGAGCCTGAACAGCACAAAATTACACTCTCTTTCCCACAATGGGTTGCAAAGGCACAGCAGGTGAAGGCTGCCTGCCGGCCCTGGACAGGCGCGGAGCCCCTCTATCCGCAGGCACAGAGAGAAGCCGGAGGGAGATGGAAGGATCCGTTTGCAATAGTCAAAGGCAGCTCTTCATATAATTGGATCAGGCACCCAATCCAAGAAGATGCCACGTGGCTGAAGCAGACAACAGCCAAAGAGAAAGAAAAGGTTGGCGTAGCAGGACAATGGGAACATGCCTAACAGTCCCTCTTTCAGACATTAGTCTTTTCAATCAAACCTCCAAAGGTCTTATCCCTGTTCTGTGAAGCTAAGATGTAGAACCTCAGGTCAGAGACCTGAACCCTCAAAAAAAACAAACTACACATTTACCTTGGATGACCCAGGGAAGAACAATGAATTAGAAGGCTAGAGTCCTGAACGCTGCCGCTCAGTCAAGGGCCAGTGAGTGAAGCAGAACTAATAATCCTCTCTCGCTTGCCGTTGTGTGAGGCCCCTGCTTATGAAAGTGCTTTGAAGAGGGTAGAGGAGAAGCAGCAGTCATGTCGAGCATTATCAGAGGATGATGAGCCCTCAAGCCTGCATCATCACCAGCCCAGGTTCAACCAAACCTGTTCTATGACCGAGTCCTAAATTCCATCCTTATAGTGGGATAGGATCACTCTCAAACCAGCTGCAAGCCACCAAACCTCCTCTCCCACAGGCGGCTATGACCAGCTCCTTGTGTGCAGAAATAAGGACCTGCATGGATCCCCCCCACCCCCCAGGCTCTCTGGGACTCACAATCCAGCCGCCTCCATCCGTATCCATGTCACAGTACACCTGCATGGGCCGGCTGGCGTCGCCATTGAGGTAGATGGTGTAGAGGCCGCTGGCAGCGTTGCTGTTCTGCTGCACCTGGGTGCAGTCCGAGGGATGTGGGAAACGGGCATCAACTGGGAGCCAAGCAGAGGGACAATGTCATCAGAACAAAGGCGAGGAAGAGGGCGGGTAGGGCTTTTAGCCCGCTTTTCTATGTGTAGGGCTATTCTATGTGTAGGGCTATGTGTAGGGCTATGTGTAGGGCTTTTCTACGTGTAGGGCTATTTGTTTTGTTGGGAAACTATTTCATAACCTTCTCCTATTTCACTCCCTTCAGCTCTTCAGTCTCACTCACTCTGTCCACCTCCAACACTGCAAATCCCCAATCCACCACTCCCACCCCCAACTCAATCCTCCCACAACACACCTTATTCTCCAGTTCACCCTCCTCCTTAGAGATAAATTCCCTTTGAACCAATAACTTCATCTTCACTTGCCCAAGCCCCTAAAAACACTACCCTAAGTCTGCATCCACTTGCTCCTTCCTGGCTTCTCCAATGAGGATCCTCTAGTGCGCTGTCCCCTCAAGACTGGATCCTGTATTACCTGTGGAGAGGGTGGTGGACACACTCTTGCTCCGGCGATCGCCCTTAAAGGCAACCAAAGAGGCAGGGTAGGTGACGCCCTGCTCCAGGCCTTGCAACTCAAACCTCTGCTCGCCCCTTTGGAGCCTCACCTCCTGCCAACCAACAGAGAAGAAGATGGTGAGGGATTCAGTTTCTTTAGCAGAGCACTCCCTGATATGATGGACAGAGGCCTCCTAGGATTCACAAGGCAGCCCCAAGTCACAGTCCGTGCCAGATACTGCTGTGCTATGCAGATTCAGCACTGCCAAAAGGCACACACCCCGGCTGGCACCAGCCAGCTCTCCGGCCTTCACATGCTGACTATAGCCACAGATGCTAAAAAAGGGAGAGAGAACGAGTCATGGATTATCTGAGAGAGTGGGCAATAGTTGGTATTTTAATAAATCCTCATGAAACCTGCCTTATTTCCTCTCTAAGCTAACTCACCCGGCAGGACTGTCATAAACATTCACTGTCGTAGTGACTACATCCAAGCATCCTGCCTTTTTTGACTTCTCCTTTCTTTCTTCCTTGCTAAGGAAAAAGAATTATAATTTTCTACTCTAGAAAGTTTACAAAAAATATTCTGGCTTTCAGATTCAAGAAGAAAGTAAGACTCTGGAAATAAGGATTAAACCAATTCATTTAATCATTCACTAAATACATGTGTAGTAACACATATGTATTTTAGCCACTTGTAATCTTAGCCATTTGGAAAGATGGAGCAAAAGAATTACAAGCAGGAGGACTACAACTTAGTTAGAATGACAATATTGCATTTAAAAGGAATAGAGAGATGTAGCTCATTAGTAATTACTGAGCTTGTGCAACCCTCAGTTCACCTAGTACCAGGAAAAAAAAAAAAAGAATTACTGAATACCTACCATGAGCCAAATCTTCTCTAAGCATTTTACATCCAATGACAAACAACAAAAACAAAGCTTCTCAGACTTCCTGGAACTTACATTTATTGACCGACAATGAATTTTAAAAAATAGGGCCAGAGGTATAGTTTAGTGGTAGAACATTTTTTTTTTTTTTGCTACCGCTACAGTTTAATTCCCCAGAACCAAGAAAAGGAAAAACAAAGCACGACAAAACAGAGAAACAGGCTCTGGTAGCTCATGCCTGCGATCCAAACTATTCAGGAGACCAATATCTGAGATCAGTGTTGCAAGGCAGCCTGAGCAGGGAAGTCTGCAAGAATTTTTATCTTTAATTAACCACCAAAAAGTCAGAAGTGAAGCTGTGGCTCAGAGCACTAGTCTTGAGCACGAAACCAGTGGTCAACAAGGAACAGGAACAAAGGTTAGTCATTACCAAGAGCCATAGTGTTCATGAATGACTGTGTTTATCAATGCCGCTTGCTCCTAGCAAGTAATCGATAAGGATCAACAGATTGATTGGTAGCTTTCCATAAAGCCAGCAATCAAGCTGATCTGTCTGCGTCAGCTGCTTCACAGAGAGGTTGTAAAATTTTTTTTTAAATATTTTTTAAAGACACCAAGAGAAAGATCAGGAATATGTAGCACCTTCACTGTCCCATTTGGAAACTGATAGGTGAGAATGTAGCCATCGATCTGAGCAGTGGGGGACATCCAGGTCAGCACCCCGCCGGAGTGTGTGACACCAAACGGACGAAAGTTTCTGGGAGGGTCGATTTCTGCAAACAAAAAGTCAGGTAATTATTATTATTGAAATATGACAGAGACGGTGAGTGGTTTTCGGCCATCGGTTTCAGTTTTCTCCCTGGGTATCTTCTCATTTCTTTTCCTCTCTGCAACCAGAGTGAGTTCTGCTTTTCCTGCCTACAAAGCCACTGAGGACAAGATTCCCTAATCAGGGAATAGGACTGAGTGAGCCCTACAGGGAGAGGATTTGAAATCCTAAGACCCCGGAAAATTCCCAGAGAATGGTGAACACTGAGCAGGTAGGTTCTCAGAGATGATGGAGGCCTACAGTCACAAGAAAAAATTGGGAGCCATTGATCTTAAAAGTTCCTGCACACAGAACAGAAGGAGGACTGTGCAAACAGGTGCCTGGAGAAACAACAAAGGCCCAAACACTTACATCTAGACCTGGGGAAGAGGCAGGACTGTAAAGGTAATGAGATTGCTGGCCAACTGATGCCCTTCATCTCTAACAGAAATTAAGCTCACACAGAAATATAAATGTATATCTAAAGTATCTCAGTGAATGACCCGCGATGCATGGTGGGCATAGAAATAAGGAAGGACGGTACTTCTACAAAGAAAGATACTTGTACAAAGAAAGAAGTGTGGAGAGCTGAGTGCGGTGGCACAAACCTGTAATCCTAGCTTCTTAGTAAGTCGAGATCAGGAATCACAGTTCAAAGCTGGCCAGCATGAAAGTTCTCGATGGCGGGGTGTGGTGGTACACACCAGCCAGTCAAGATATGGGGAAAGCATTACTGGCAAGTGTCTGCCATGCCCAGTGATCCAGAGAAGCCCATTTAGGAGGATCACAGCCCCAGGCTTGCTTGGACAAAAAGTAAAATTCTGCCTCATAAAGATTCTACCACTGGACACTGGTGGCCCACACCTGGAATCCTAGCTACTCAAGAGCCTGAGAGCTGAAGATTCTGGTTCTAAGCCAGCCTGAGCAAGAAATGCCATGAGACTTCTATCTCCAATTGACCACCAAAAAAATACAACAACAACGGAAGTGGAGCTGTGGCTCAAAGAGGTAGAGTGCTAGCCTTAAGCAAAAAAATATTCAGGAACAATGCCTAGGCCCTGAGTTCAAGCCCAGTGACCACCGCCATCAACACCAAAAAAAAGGGCTAGAGATACTGCTCAAGTGGTAAGCACAAGACCCTGAGTCCAATCCCTAATACCACTAACAGAAAGAAAAGAAAAAAGAATGACGAGGAAGGAGATTTGAAGAAAAGAGCCATGCTTTTCTTGTAAATACTCCCCCAGAGAGTGTGCGTGGTGATAAGCACATGTACATAGACTAGGAAAATTAAAGCTCAACAGAAACACCAGTCACCCTGTAATAACTGGTCAGACGGCTTTCTTTTTTAACTGAATAAGATATGAATGGAAATTTCCATTTTGAAGAAACATTATCATAGAAGGCAATTTTAATTTAGAACTTCCCCAAAAGACATCTCCAGGCTATTTTCTACCCAGTAGCCTTTCAGCTGAGAACTGAATGAAAGTGTTTTAATAGAAATCAGACAACTGTTGTTTTAAATTAAGTTGTTTTGACGAATTTTTGACTTTCTGTACTATCAGCTTGGTTTTTCTAAAGTATAACATCTGGCACAGATCTTATTCTATTTCTCACATGGGGGAAAAAAGCCTGAATTTCCTTTCATAACCAAAGTGAATTTTTAACCATTTAAAAACCTTGAGTTGTGTCCTATCGTTTCCTTGCCTACTGGTTCCCTGGCCACGGACTGAACAATGTTTATCTTGGTCACTTTCGCATTTCTTTGAAGTCAAAAGATGAGCATTTCATTATTGCCTTTTTAAATGAGGAAAGTGATATGAACAAGGAAAGGAATGGAGAAATGGAGAAGAAAAGAAGGAAGGGAGTGAGAACAGAGGGAGGCACCGGCTACTGTTTGTCTCCAGAGAGTCAGATGGTGTTCTTGGGAGTGTGGACAGGGGAAAGAGGAGCTTTGTTTTTATGTGTGGAGGTTCGTTGGTTCATTACTGATACCAGGGTTTGAACTCAGGACCTCCCACTTGCTCTGGTTGCTTGACTGGTACTCTACAACCTGAGTCACATCTCTAACCTGGCCTTTAGATGATTTGGAGATGGAATCTTGTAGACTTTTCTGCCCAGGCTGTCTGTGAACTATGATCTTTCGGATTTCAATTTCCTGAATAGCTAAGATGACAGGCATACGCTACTGGTACCCAGGTTGTGTTTTCATTTTTGGATATTTTTGTTTAATTTGAAGGGTGTTTTTTTTTTTTCCATAAAACACATATTAATTCGGGAGTTACAAATCTGGCTAATTTTAACAATAATACCTATAAAGAAATTAAGGTGGGCTGGGAAGGTGGCTCAGTGGTAGAGCGCTTGCCTTGCATGCCTGAGGCCCTGGGTTTGATTCCTCAGCACCACATAAGCAAAAAGAAAAAAGCCAGAAGTGGTGCTGTGGCTCAAGTGATAGAGTGCTCGCCTTGAGCTGAAGAGCTGAGGGACAGTGCCCAGGCCCAGAGTTCAGGCCCCACGACCGGACCCAAAAAAAAAAAAAAAGAAATTAAGGTACTGCTAACTCCAGTGACCTCTGTTGGTGCAACTGACTCCAGAGGGAACAAACCATGGCCAGTGCCTCTAAAAAAAAAAAACCCACACATCTCCAGGCTGCACTGAGGCCTAACTGCTTGATACAAGCTGAGACCAGAAACCACATCATGCATAGAAAACATATGCCGCTGGACACCTTTGGTGACAGGCTGGCGGTGGCATAGAGAAACATGCTTCACCCACTACCCGCATCATGAAAGATGCTCTACTTTATTTCATTGCATTTGCCACCTCAGAGTGTTAGCTCAAGAAGGCAAATAAGCAACTACTTTGAGGAATGTCCTCGGGTGAAGCAACGACCCTCTCTGCTCCTCTCCCCACGTGAGTTATGAAGGGAGACTCACTCTTTTTTCTTTTTCGTTTTTGTCCATCACGGGGCTTGAACTGTGGGCTTGGGCGCTGTCCCTCAGCTCTTCAGCTCAAAGCGAGCGCTCACTTGAGCCACAGCACCACTTCCAATTTTCTTGTGGTTAATTGGACCTAAGAGTCTCACGGACGTTCCTACCTGGGCTGGCTTTGCTTTAAACCGTGATCCTCAGATCTCAGCCTCCTGAGTAGCTATGATTACAGGCGTGAGCCACCAGTGCCTGTCAAGACACACACTCTTGGTAAGTATAAAGACTTCTCACAGTACCTGTCAGGGCCTTAGTGTCAGCCTTCTTGCTCTCCCGGGCTCCCTTCTTGGCCCACACATGGACCATGTACTCCACGCCTGGCCTCAGGCCTGTGAGGACGGTGCTGCTCTGATCCTTTGGCACCGGAGCCTCCCTGGTCTCTCCATCAGCAGAGGTGTAGCGCACCATGTATCTGTCAATGTTGGCGCGCACTGGCTCCCAGGAGATGGTGGCTGTTGTCTCTGTCACTCGGTTAGTCACCAGATTTTTGGGGCTGTCAATTTCTTTTAGAAAGATTTAGGGAAAGTTGCCGTTAGAACCGAAAGAGGGTGTCTCATTATTGCATCTTCAGGAGCTCTCTACTTGAGTTAGTATTAATAACAGTGTAATTCCATTTAAAACAGGGTTTTCATGTCCCAGGAAACAAGCCATAGGGATATTGAAACTAGAAGGAACTGGGTCACCTCTTTGTTTATGAATATGGAAATTTTCTGTCCTTTTATAGTTCTTGTCAAAATAAGCAATTAAAATCTAGTGTTGGCCTTCAGTGGTAGAAGGTAGATCTCCCGTAGTAGATCTCCATGGTACTTAGCTATGTTCCACTAACTTTGAGAATTAAGGCATACCTTCTTTCCTTCTTGACATATAAGGGAAGAAAAATGGAAGCCCAAAGAAATGAAGATTCTTAGTAAAGTTGCTGTTGTTTTCTTATGTTCAAACCAAGGCTAGACCCTCTTTGCCTTGAAATTCATGCCTTCCACTTTCTCAAAGACTTTGCTCCTTTCATCCAGCCTCTCCCTCCTGCATCCCTAAGGCTCTTCTTCTCTATCATCAGCCCCAGAAAAGAAAGCTCTAGGCTCTGCCATTCCTCCCCATACCATCCTTTGCACCTTCCAAGTGTCAGGTTTAAGGGAAGGGTCTGCGTATCTTAATTTCACTCACCTCCCATTCACTAAATTCAGCCATGTTTGGCAGCTATCTATACCATACCATTAAATCTGCTAGACTAGGTCACTAGCCACTTCTGCATCCAGGCTCTTGACTAGGTAAAGAAGATCTACTTCCTCCTTGGTTTTCATGACTACACTCCTAATTCACTGGCTCTTCCTCCTCAGTCCTTTGTTAGTAATCTTTATATGTTGGAGTATCCAAAGTTCCCACTTCTCTCTCTTCATTTTTTCCTAGGAGATGTCACCGAGTCTATGGCTTGAAATGCCAACTAGATGTTCATTGTTCCACAGAAGTATCACTTCTGAGCCCCTGGCTTGGATCAACTATTGCGTATCCACACCGTGCCTGGACTGTGTTACACAATCATTAAATATTTATGAAATTAATAAATTATCAGCTAACCAAGGAATTTCAGAAGTATCTTAAATTTAAATATTTAACAGGTTTGACATTCCTTTTCAAACATATACCTCTCAGCCTCTTTACTTTCTTAAGAAATGAATCTGCAGGGCTGGGAATGTGGCTTAGTGGTAGAGTGCTTGCCTAGCATGCATGAAGCCCTGTGTTCGATTCCTCAGTGCCACATACAAAGAAAAGCCAGAAGTGGCGCTGTGGCTCAAGTGGTAGAGTGCCAGCCTTAAGCCAAGGAAGCTCAGGGACAGTGCTCAAGCCCTGAGTTCAAGCCCCAGGACTGAAAACAAAAAAGAAAATGAAACTACAGTCTTACACATGGCTCAGATCAGAAGCACAACCAAGACTTGATTCCTCATTTTCTTCTTGTCCCACATCTCTTCAATCAGCTATTATTATCATTTATGCCCCCAAAATATGGCCTCAGACAGCCTCTTCTTTTTTTTTTTTTTTTTTTTTTGTTGGTCAGTCATGGGGCTTGAACTCCGGGCCTGGGCACTGTCCCTCAGCTCTTCAGCTCAAGGTAAAAGCTCTATCCCTCGAGCCACAGCACCACTTCCAGTTTTCTGGTGGTTAACTGGAGATAAGAGTCTCTTGGAGGTTCCTGCCCGGGCTGGCTTTGAACCATGATGCTCGGATCTCAGCCTCCTGAGTAGCTAGGATTACAGGCGTGAGCCACCAGCGCCCCGCCTCAGACATCCTCTTCTATTTCCACTTCTATCCAAATCATTACCACTTCTCATCAGATTTGACAATGGCCGTTTCACTACCCTTCCCTCTTCTACCCTCTCACCTCTTCCACTTATTCTTGCTACTGTGAAGAGCAGTATTTTTATAAATTATTTTCGTGCAGCATATCACGCTTCTTAATAAATATGCTTTCTCTTTCCCGTATAGTCTTGTATGGCCTGACTCTCAACTGTGTTGCTCCAAAGTTACCAGCCTCTTCTTCAGTTCCTCAACCACCTCATGTGCCACGCCAGTGAGAGAGCACCACAGAAGCCTGCTCTATTCCCCCTCACACCCACCTTCCGCTTCCTCTATGAGCATGTTGTCCAATGGACAGCCCTGCAGTAATGTACGCTTTCTGTACTCTGCACTGTCCAGTTCAATAACCATTCACCACATGTGGTTGTTGACTGAAATACCATTGATCTGACTGGGGAAATGATTTATTTTACTTCATCAAAATTTAAATATGGCCATTTAATTTTACAGGACATTATAGCAGAAGTTACAGCTGGATACATGACCATCCATCTGAAAACCTCATTTCCCAACCTCCCTTGTCATGAGGCCTGGCACTGTGAGATCTGACAGTGAACTAGGGGAAGAATTGATGTGTGTAATATTTCAGTTGTGCTCTAACCTCTCCCTTGCCCCTTCTCATTGGGTAGAATGCAGAGAGGGTAGGTACTATGTAAATGAGTGCAACTCTATGTAAATGAGCAACAACCTACAAGGAGATGGGTTTCCTGTATCAGAGAGCTGCCATCAGGCCTAACCTAAAGGATTAGCCCTTCAGCTGTCCCGTTTCCAAAGAATAGGACTCATTACCTGTGGGAGCCTTTGTGTCAGCCTTCTTACTCTGTCGGGACCCTTTCTGGGCCCACACATGGACCGTGTACTCCACGCCTGGCCTCAGGCCGGTCAGGACAGTGCTGGTCTTCTCCTTCCTCACTGGAATCTCCCTGGTCTCTCCATCAGGAGAGGTGTAGCGCACCATGTACCTGTCGATGTCTGCCTGTACTGGGTCCCAGGAGATGGTGGCTGTGTTCTCTGTCACTTGGTTGGTCACCAGGTTTTTGGGGCTGTCAATGTCTACAAGGAAAAGTACTCATCAATTTGGGCTGTGAACAGGCCAAGGGCCATACTGCCTAAAGTGAGATTCTTTTATGGTTTATCTTTTTTTTTTCTTTGTAAAAAAAGTTGGTGGTACTGGGATTTGAACTCAAGACTTTGTGCTTGCTAGGCAGATAATCTACTGATGAGACAGACCTCTAGGCTTATTTTTGTACTGGTTATTTTGGGAATAGGGCCTCACTTCCTGCCCAGAAAAAAAAAATCACTTATTTTTCACTTCCTTCCATAGCTGGGATGAAAGGCACACACCACCCTACCCAACTATTGGTTGAGAAGGAGTCTCATATGTATGCCCAAACCAGCCTCAAGCTACAATCCTGATCTCAATCACCCAAGAAACTAAGATTGCAGGTGTGAGCCACTAGCTCCCAGCTTGTTTTAATTTTCTGCCTTTCATTTCCTCAGGTAGAAATCCCAAGAGACTAGAATTTGACAACTTAATCCCTGACCTCTATTAAAAACTGTAGAAGATATGTCTGAGGCAGTGAGCAGAGTTAGACACTGAAGTAGACCTGGACTCTGCCTAAAAGGAGTGCCCAATTTTGTGTTCACCACCAATGGACAATGAAGACTTCCAGCATATACTAGAAGATTCTGAAGCCCAGGTCCAAATGCAAGCTCCTAGAAGAAGAAGTGCCTGGAAAAACCTCCTCTTTTCTTCTGTGTTCCCAGTGCCCAGTAAAAGACAAGGCACAGGGCAAGTGCTCAGTACATATTATTAAGTAACCCAGCAAAAAGTAAGGCCTGTTTTCCTCTTCTTCAACAAGCATGGATTCCCTTGCCGGTTTGATAGTGGCATCACTGTACAAAAAGTGGGTAGATACCTCTTTTACACTCCTAAGAAAGCAACACAGGAGCTATCCTATCTCAGAACCCTGACTGACTTACACTTCATCATTCTACAGAGTGAACTATACTGTTTAAGTAACTTGTATCTGGAAGTTTCCATCCATGTCTATTCTTTTGCTACTTACTCATCTTACCTACAAAACTCTGCTCTGCATCTAGCCAAGTTATATCTCATTAATAGAATGAATCACCATTAAAGATTATAAAGTTGGTCTATGTACTATGACCCATTTGTAATAAATTAAACCACACACATACAACCACTATGGCACACGTAAAATCTATATTCATTTTAATAGTGTGTATTCATTGTAGAAAGGGGTTTCATCATAGTGTTTTACTTTGATCATAGTCACACCTTGAGTACTCTTTCTTTTGTAGAATATATATTATTAAGGTCAAACTTTTAATATATTATTAATAATGATGTGAGATTTTCTTTTCATGTTTTGCTCTACTCACAAACTCACTAAGGCACAATAAATACTGTCCAAAAGATTCACAGACTCTGAAGAGAAGCTGTAAATACAACTATCAAAAAGAGTTTAGGTGTGGGGATGTGAGGGAAAAAGTAGGAGAGAGTAAGGGAAGGGGTGATACTGTCCAAAACAGAAATGTACTCTTTATCTGACTTATGTAAATGTGACCCTTCTGTATATTATCTTTATAAAAACAATTTAAAATTTTTAAATAATTTTAAAAAACAAAACAGCTCAGACGCTAGGGTCTGACTATGAAGGAAGCTGGTCAAGGGGAAATGAAACAGACTGTGTAGAGTCAATGTATGAATTGACACTGTCCTGCCCTTCGATATCCCATCCATCTCCAACCATAGGAGGAAAACAAAATATACTCAGTGTAGACAGCATGGCAGGCATTACAGTCACAAAAACGATGTCCGTTACCTGTAGGGGCCTTGGTGCTGGCCTTCCTGCTCTCCCTGGCCCCCTTCTGGGCCCACACATCAAACTTGTACTCCACGCCTGGCCTCAGGCCTGTCAGGACGGTGCTCCTTTCATCCTTCCCAATCAGAAATTCCCTGGTCTCTCCATCCGCAGAGGTGTAGCGCACCACATACCTATCAATGTCGGCCTCCACAGGGTCCCAGGAGACAGTGGCACTGTTCTCTGTCACCTGCTTAGTCACCAGGTTTTTGGGGCTGTCAATGTCTACAAGGAAAAGTGCTGATCAATAAACACTTGTAACAGACACAAAAGAGAGGCTGTTTTACTTGGACTAAGATAGTTTCCTGTTCTTAAGATTTTTCCCATCTTGTATTTGGTTTTTTTATTGTTTCATGGGCATAGAGCTTGTCTCCACAATTGGATTCTTGGATGCCCATGAAGGCAGCTTGAGACAGTGGAATGAGCCACACAGAGTTGGGACTGGGTTCTAGTATTAGCCTGAGAGGAAGAGCTGAGGGGAAAAACGCATATTGGGCTCCAGTCATCAGATCATGAATTTTACTCCAGCTGTGTCACCGGCCTCAACTCACCTCTGACTACACCTTAGTTTTCTCATCTGTAAATGCGGGCCTTATAGATTAAACATATCTTACAGCTACCTTCATGTTTCTGAAGATCTCAGGAAGAAAACCCGACAAGTCTTTACTAACTTTGTGACTTGCAGAAATTATACACTTCACTATATTTGAGGACTTTGCCTGCGAAATGAGGAACCTTGGTTCCTGGTCTAAATGTCTCTGAGGACCAAGTAAATGAAGAAAAGAATCCTCCTTCATTGCTGACGGATATGCAGCACAGTGCACCCACTGTGTTGGGTAGAATGATCCAGAAACTCTACACCAAGATATCTATGTCTCCGTGAAAACTGACATGACATGCTCATCTCATCATTACTCACAATAGCAGAAGAGTGGCGGCAACTCAAGCTCATTCATTGAAAAATGGATAAACAAAAGTGTGTATCCAAAAACGAAATATTCATTTGCAGTAAAAGTAAGTATAGATCCACGCTAAAACATGGCTGAACCCAGAAAACATGCTTCCTGAAAGAAGTCAGTCACAAAATACATATATTGGGAGATGCCGGGTATAAAGTAATTTCCAGTACAGGAAATTAATACAGATAGACAGCAGTCATTATGGAAGCCTGGAAGTACTGAGCACAGGAGTCGCTGGGAATGGACATAAGGTTCTTGTTGCTGGTGAAAGAGACAGTGGTAATAGTTGTACAACTTGGGGTGGAGGCAGGCTCACCAGTAGTGCGCCAGCCTAGCAAATGTGACACTCTGAGTTCCATCCTAATCCTGAGCGAAAATGACAGGAGTCATTTTCACAACTGCTGAATGTGCTCTTGAAGTGGGCGAATTCTATTGTAGGTAACTATGTTTTCATACAGCTGTTCTTAAGAAATGAGGAAACCTAAGATGGAAAAGCTTTAACATTGAGAAGTTATTGTATATAATTGTAACCGTAGGATTTTTAAAGTGCAGTCTACAGTATTCAAAGTAGAATTTGTCTATCAATAAAGCATAAGCCCTCTTGACCTAACACATCACAGCAAAAGCCATTTCCCTACAGTACTTAGCTCATCAATCCTAACATACATGACTTCTTTAAACATTTTCCTTTTCAAAAGGAATATTTTGAGATTGTTCAGAAAGAAAATACAATCGGAAAAACAGTGGATGGATGTACCAAACACCAATAATCGTGTATGGGTGTGCCTGTAGTGGGGCTTAACCTCAAGACACTATGTTCTTGCTTCGTTTTTTTGTTCAAGGGTGGTACTCTACCACTTAAGTCACACTTCTACTCCTGGCTGGTTAAATGGAGATAAGAGTCTCTCTGATTTGTTTGCCTGAGCTGGCTTTGAACCTTCATTCTCAGATCTAAGCTTCCTGAACAGCTAGGATCACAGTTGTGAGCCACCAGCATTCTGCTACCATTATCTTCATGAGACAAAAATACAAGGCTGCTGCAGGAGCATGATGGTATGTCAATGGTCCCAGCACCGAGGACAATGAGGCAAAAAAAAAAATCAATTCTAGGTCAGCATGGACTACACAATGAGTTCCAGCCACTCTGGGATCTGTAGGAAGATGCTATCTCCAAAAATCCAGCAAAACAACAACTACGAGGCTAATAATATGAGATAATGTGCTCTCAGACATTGAGAGACCCAATGGGTACTATGACCAAAGTCTACCATCCCGCTCTTCCATTGATCATTGATTTCTGCCAAGGACCTAGTAGGAAAATTAAATATCTTCCCACAGGCTTACCATGACAGGTATTAACATTCTCAAAGGGCAAAGTTGTTTACCTGTGGGGGCCTTGGTGCTGGCCTTCCTGCTCTCTTGGATCCCTTTCTGGGCCCACACATCGAATTTGTACTCCACGCCTGGCCTCAGGCCTGTGAGGACGGTGCTGCTCTTCTCCTTGTCCACTGGAACCTCCCAGGTCTCTCCATCAGCAGAGGTGTAGCGCACCACATACCTGTCAATGTCAGCCTCCACCGGATCCCAGGAGACACTGGCGGTATTCTCTGTCACTTGATCAGTCACCAGATTTTTCGGGCCGTCAATGTCTAAAGGCAAAGAACTCGTCAATAAACAGGAGTAACAGGCACAAAAGAGTGAGGAGGTTTCCTGTGCTTACATTCTCCTGTCTCGTGCTTGGTTTGTGGTTGTTTCGTGCACAACTTCTTCATCTTCTGCTGGACTCTTGGCTCCTCAAGGAGGTGCACAAGACAGTGGAGTGAGTGAGTCTCACATCTGGAGTTAGAGGGGCTGGGGTCTAGTCTCAACCTGAGAGGCACAGTTGAGGGGTAGGAAGTAGCATATTTGTTGGACTCTAATCATCATGAATATCACTCTAGTTCAACCACTGGCTGACCACAGCCTTGGACAACTCAGCTGCTTCTGACTACACCTCAATTTCCTCATCTATAATATTTGCTGTAGATTAACACGACCTTAGAGGTACCTTAATGTTACTGAATATTTCACGAAGCAAACACCATGAATCATCAGCTAACTATATGAATTTCAGGAACCATGTATCTCTCTGTATTTGGGGATTATCGGCTATAAAATGGGAATATTACCTTTTTATTTTTTCAGTCCTGGGGCTTGAGCTCAGGGCCTGGGCTCTGTCCCTGAGCCTCTCTGTGCTCAAGGCTAGAGCTCTACCACTTGAGCCACAGCACCATTTCTGGATTTTTTCTGAGTAGTATATTGTAGATAAGAGCCTCATGGACTTTTCTACCCTGGCTGGCTTTGAACCATGATCCTCAGATCTCAGCCTCTTTTGAGTAGCTAGGATTACAGGCCTGAGCCAGCGGCACCTGGCTGTATGAACTCCTTTTGCACAGACTCAACAAACTCCTCTGAGCATCAATAAGTGAGGACTTTTTCATTGATGGGCATATAAAATTGTGCTATAGTTTTGAAAACATTCTGCAAAATTAGTTAGAATTATCAAATAATTCAGCAATTCCACTCTTAGCACATGCCTAAGGGAAATGATGACGTATATGCATGCAAAAACTTGAACACAGGAGATGGGAGAATAGTTAGGTGAGAGAGCACTTGTCCATCATGGGCCAGGTCCTGGGATGGCCCCTCAGTACACATATCCCCCCGAAAATAACCTTATACACAAATAGCACCATCACTATTCATAATAGAGAAAAAAGAAGCAACCCAAATGTCTAACAATTGATAAACAAACGTGCATTTCCACAATGAAATATTAATTCACAATAAAAATTAAGTCTTGATATAAGCTGCAGTATGGATAATCCCAGAAAATATGGTTCTAGAAAACATTATGCTTTATGGCAGAAGTCAGTCGTAAAGAGCCACACAGTGTATAATTCCATGTAAAGAAAATGTCCAGAGAAAAGAAACCCATGCAGACAGAATGTAGTTGTTAGCAGGGCTAGAGAGCGTGGGAAGGGGAGTATTCACTCCCATTACTAGTTCTTTTAGAGAGGGACACTGAGAATTATTGTACAGTTCTGTAAATATACTAAGCTAGCTCTATTGTACACTTTAAAGTACACATCCTTTGGGGGCTGCATTCAGGTTTCCAGGCTTGCTAAGCAGGTGCTCCATCACTTGAGCCATCACACCCGCAGCCCTTGTAAATAAATCCTAATGAGGTATAACAAAGGGGGAAACGGATGGAAAAGCCTGCAAATTATGAGCTGTTATTGTCTATAATTGTAAAAGTAGGATCCTCAGAATGGAACCACAGCACACAAAGAATGTATTCACTAAGAAAGCAATAAATCCTTTCCCTAAAATAATTAGGACACATATCCTACCATATATTTTTATGTCTTTTGTTACAAGACAGATATTCTGAGATTGACCAACAAAAGAAGTCCACGATTAGAACAGTGTGAAAATCACCATTAACTACATTGTTTTGTTTTGCTTCTTCTTGAGGCTGAAGATTCACCAGGGCCTTACACATGCTATGCAAGCACTCTACAGCTACATCTTCAGACTATCTTAAATCTTCATAAATGCCAAAATAAGAGGCTGAAAACGAGGACCTTATTATAAAATAATGTGTTAAAAGAATTGAGAGATCGGTGAGTACTATGACAATATACCATTTAGGTCATCTACAGTGATTGCGGTTTACCAGCACCAGAGAAGGAAACCCAAATTTGACCTCCTTTAGGCAAAGGTAATAAATACATGCTGCATTATAAAAGGAGAGTAACAATTACCTGTGGGGGCCTTGGTGGTGGCTTTCTTGCTCTCCCGGGTCCCTTTCTGGGCCCACACTTCGAATATGTAATCCACACCTGGTCTCATGCCTGTCAAGACGGTGCTGCTTTGATCCTTCCCAACCAGAAGTTCCCTGGTCTCTCCATCAACAGAGGTGTAGCGCACCACGTATCTGTCAATGTCAGCCTCTACCGGGTCCCAGGAGACGGTGGCAGAGTTCTCTGTCACCTGCTCAGTGACCAAGTTTTTCGGGCTGTCAATGTCTAAACAGATAAGTAGAAATCAGTAACGGGTATAAAAGACAGACTACTTTGCTCTGTGTCTGAGTGAATTCCTTTTTCTTATGGATTGCTCAATTTTATATGCTGTTATCAACTGTTTCATGAGCATAGACCTCATCTCCACATCTGGACTCCTGGACCCAGAAAGAGGCGGCACAAGACAATGAAAAGAGCACCAGAGCCAGAGAGTTACAGTAGCTGAGTTCTACTGTCAGCCTGACAGGGTCAGGAAGCCCCTTGGGCCACAATTCAGATGCCTCTGACTATATACCTCAGTTTCCTCATCTGTAATATGGGCCTTAGATTAATACTTTGTGCCACCTTTGGAAATAGTGTGATCTACTCAGAAATTCAAGTGATAACTACCAAATAATCAAGCAGTTCCACTCCAAGGCATCTAACTAAGAGAAATATTATCATTCATGCATTCAAAAACTTGTATACAAATACTCGTTATTATTAGCATTGTTATTTGTCCTTTGTTGTTCAACGAAGGACAAACAGACAAACAAATGCACCTATCCATACAATGAATTATCTATTCATAATAAACCTAACATGGATGATACAATGAAGCTGCAGCATGCATAAACTGAAAATATTTTTCTGCCTGAGCTGGCTTTGAACTCGTCAGCCATCCAAGTGCCTGGGATTACTGGTGTGTGCCATCACATTCACTGAAAGGTGGGTGAATGTCAAGCACACAATCATTGCAGCAGAATATATACTACTCAAAGGAGGATGTATTCAGCAAAAAGAAAAGAAAAGAAAAAAGTAGTAACCCTTCTTTTCATCTCTAAAGAAATCAAAAAACCACTTCCTCAGGCCAGGTGTTGGTGGCTCATGCCTCTGATCCTAGCTACTCAGGAGGCTGACATCTGATGACCGGGGTTCAAAGCCGGCCCAGGCAGGAAAGTCAATAAGACTCTTATTTCCAATTAACCACCAAAAGCCAAAAATGGCACTGTAGCTCAATGTGGTAGAGTGCTATCCTATAGCACAAAAGTTTAGGGACACCAACTGACCTTGAATTCAAACCCCAGGATTGGCATGCACACAAACACACACACACACACACACACACACACACACACAATTTCCTTGAACCACTTAACTTACACACAGTAACATCATGCATGGCTTCTTTATATCTCTTCCTTTTTAAGAGGAATATTTTGAAACTGACACTAAGAACATACCGAACAGAAGAACAGTTACTGATCACCATAAATCTCTATACGACGGAAGTACGAGGCCAATATTTGGGGTTAATGTGTTCAAGAAAACTGAGGATGGGTTGATGTGACCACTTCATCGGAACACAAGCCTTCATCTTGATTGTTTAATAAATCACTGATTTCTCTCAAGGTCAGGTAAGAAAATCAAATGCCATTCCATCAGTTTACCATGAATTAGTGTTGCCTTCCCCAAACAGATGTTCATTACCTGTGGGAGCCTTTGTGTTGGCCTTCCTGCTCTCCCTGGCCCCCTTCTGGGCCCACACATCGAACTTGTACTCCACTCCCGGCTTCAGGCCTGTCAGGACGGTGCTGGTCCTCTTCCCCACTGGAATCTCCTTGGTCTCTCCATCCGCAGAGGTGTAGCGCACCACATACCTATCAATGTCAGCCTCGACTGGGTCCCAGGACAGGGTGGCAGTGTTCTCTGTCACTTGCTTAGTCTTCAAGTTTTTGGGGCTGTCAATGTCTAAGAGAAAAAGTGCTGCTTCATCAGGTCTAGTATCAGGCACACAGAGAGACCATTCTCTTGAACTGAGAGAGTTTCTGCCCTTCAAATTCACCCATCTCGTACATTGTTTTTCAGTCATTTCATGGTCAGAGACCTTGTCATCATAACAAAACCCTTGGCTCCTCAGGGGATAGTACAGACAGCGGAACCAAAGCAGGAGTTACAGGGCCTAGGTTCTAGTGTCAGTCTAAGTGGCAGACATGAGGGGCAAGAAATGCTTCGGACTCTGATCACAAGACTTTGCCATAGCTTAGCTATGGCCTTGGACAAGTCAGCTACCTCAGTTTCCTCATCTGAAAACATGGTCATAAATTTCAAGGCACCTTTAAAAATAGTACAGTTGTACTCAAGAATTAAAGTTAGAATTACCAAATAATCAGAAAATTCTACCTCAAAACATATACCTAACAGAAATTATGACATTTGTATATACAAAACTTGCACACAAATGTTCTTAGCATTGTTATTCCTAATAGTCGAAGAGTGGAAATAACTTAAACAGTCAACATAGGACCAATGGATAAACAACTGTCCCTACCTATACAATGAAGTACTCATTCACAATAAAAGTAAGAGCTGACCCATGCTACAACAGGGATGAACTGGAACATACACTTCATGAAAGAAGTTGGTAACGAAAGGCCACATATTAGAGGATCCCACATAAAAGGAATGTCCAGAAAAGCAAAATTAATACAGACAGAGCAGTTGTTACTTATGGGAGGTACTGAGCATAGAGCATGACTGGGAATAGACACAAGGTTCTTTTTGTTGGCAAAATTTATCTAAATAAGGCAGACACCAGTGGCTCATGCCTATAACCGTAGCTACTCAGGAGGCTGAGATCCGAGGATCAGTTTGAAGCCAGCCAGGCAGAGAAGTCCATGAGAATCTTATCTCCAATTAACCAACAAAAGAACCAGAAGTGGGGCTATGGCTCAAATGGTAGATCACTTAGATCACTAGCATTGAGCAAAGAATCTCAAGGACAGTGCCAGGCCCGGAGTTCAAGATCCAGGATTCACACACTCACACACACACTAATTTTAGACATTGGTAATGGTTGTGCAAATGTGAATATAATGAAATTATTAAATTACACACTTTAAAGGGCAAATTAATTTTTTCCACTCTTGGGGATTGAACCCCAGGCCTAGAATATGTTTGGCAAGCACTCTATCCCTCGAACAATAACCCAGCCCTTATGTTTTTTTTCCTAAATTTTCCTGACTTCCAGCTCAAGATAGTCCTGTCTCTGCCTTCCAAGTAGATGGAATTACAAATATGCATAATTCAGCTAAAGGGTGAAGCCAAACACAGGATGTCCAGAGAAGACTATACTGCATTTGGCATACTCTGTTCTAAAGATAGCACAACATAACACACATGGCTTCTGTATCTCTTTTCCTTTACGAGAAGAATGCTTTGAAAGTTACTGCAGTGAAATGCACCATAGAAAAGCAGTGACCAGTCACCATGAATCTGTATAAGAGCCAAGTATGCGGCTGATATTTGGGAATACTGTGTTAAAGAACATGCAGGAATGGGATGGAATGACCACTTTACAACTGGCTTCGTACCCACCAGGAAAAGTCTAACAGATTATTGATTTTTGGTGTGGGTGAAGGTGAGAGGAGGAAAGTCACATCTTCCCATAAGCTTACCATGACAAGGTGTTGTTGCTTTCCCAAACTCTGATATTCATTACCTGTGGGAGCCTTTGTGTTGACTTTCCTGCTCTCCCTGGCCCCCTTCTGGGCCCACACATCGACCTTGTACTCCACGCCTGGCCTCAGGCCTGTCAGGACGGTGCTGCTCTTCTCTTTCCCCACTGGAACCTCCTTGGTCTCTCCATCGGCAGAGGTGTAACGCACCACATACTTATCAATGTCGGCCTCCACTGGGTCCCAGGAAACAGTGGCGGTGTTCTCCGTCACCTGCTTAGTCATCAAGTTTTTGGGGCTGTCAATGTCTGCAAGAGAAAATTCTGATCAGTAAATTCTAGTCACAGGCACAGTAGGGAGAGACCATTTTCTTGGACTGTCAGTGTTTCCTGTTCTTAGGGTTTGATTAGCTCATATTTGGTTTTCAGTTGTTTCATAGACTCCACAGCTGGAGTTTTGGCTCCCCAGGGAGGCAGCGCAGACAGTGGAATGAGCACCACAGCTGGAGTGAGAGGGCCTGGGTTCTAGTGTCAGCCTGACAGGCAGAGATGAGAGGAGGAGGCAGCGGAGACTTCAGTCATCAGGCCATGAATCTTACCCCAGCCTGCCATCGGTCAGTCCTGAGCAACTCAGCTGCCTCTCCCTGTGCTTCAGCCTCTTCACTTCCAAAATCTGCTATTACTTTGATTTTCAAGCTTTTTCAAACATTAATATTCCAGGAGTACATCTACCTGCATAATTTGCTGACTTGTTTTCTGACCTTGTGTGTGCTGCTTCACTTACTTCTATATTTATAAAATCAAGATGTTACAGCTATTGTACAGATCTCTGTGCTTAGATCTGTAACGCAATATAAAATGATGTAGAAAAAATTATGGCACAGAAACACCTGGGATGTAGAAATAGGAGGATCATGGATCCAGGCTGTCCCAGGCAAAAAGTGAAACCTATTAGAAAAATGATTAAAAGAGAAAAAGTGTTAGGTACCTTGATTTCAAATAAAGTACCACCAAAAAAGTAAGAATAATAAAATATTATAATTAAGAAAAGGGATTTTGTGCAAGTTGTGTTTGTTTTGTGTAATGTTCTATGCTTCAGAATGGAAGCAGGAGGATCTCAAGTTCAAGGCCAGCCTGGGCACCTAATGGGACTGTGTCACAAATAAGCAAACAAAAGTAGAAGAAGCATTTGAAAATGTTAAAGTATGCCAACCGTTGCATCTCTGAAGCCAAAGAATAGCCACTCTGTAATTCAAAATGCAATAAAGAGTAAACCATCTTCTATACCTCAATTTCTTCCCTACGGGGAAGATATACAAAACGGGGAGACATTACCAATTTATATCTTATAGAGTTGTTGTAGTCTACAAATGAATAGCGTGTCTCTTATGGCTATTCTCAGCCATGCCCAGTGACTATGAACTCTTTTCAGCAAAGCTATCAGTTTGATGTTTCACTCTACTACACACACCCAAGGTTACCAAAACTGTATTGCACGAAGAAAAATAGTATCGCTTCTTAAATCTAAATATTTTTTGCAAAACTCATTTCCCTAAACTTATTTGCTCAAAGGTCCTTTTATATATGTTCATTTAGGCTTTGACTCCAGGAAGCTTGGTATCTGTATTCCAACCCCTGGCCCACCAGCAAGGCTGGCTCAACAGTTCTATGACTCTGTGGCTAACCAACCATCTCCAGTCTATAAAACTAAGAAGAGTGAGGAAAGGGGTGGGTTGGGAGGGAAGAGTGAGAATGCTGAAAGGGGTGACATTGATCAAGATGCATTATGCTCATAAACTGCTTGGTTGAATGGCAAAGGAAAAAATAAAGCACGTAGTAATACTTCACAGAGGGAGAGAGAGAAAGAGAGAGAGAAAGAGACAGCAGTTAGAGAGGTCAGAGAGTTAGAATTATTTGAACAGAGCTACCCTGTGAGTCCTAGAAGCAGGACCCAATCCTTAAATAAGCGATTTTAGTAGGATCCTGTACAGAATTTGTGGTGTACAGAGTAGAAAAGAAATCTCAAGGGGGTGAGTAGCAATGTCAGTGAAAGGTGGGAGCTTACTGGCATCTAATGGGTAGACACCAAGGATATTGCTGAACATCCTACATGACCCAAGCTACACCTGGGCAACAAATAAATTATCCTACTCAACATGTCAACAGTGAAAAGGTGGAGAAATCCCTTCTAAAGGGTAGGGAACACTGAAGGTTGGTTTGTTGTTGTTTTTTTTAACACATGACTCAAATATCTAAGGGTTAACAGAAAAGCTGGTTGTTTGGTGCCAAGCAAGAGAAGCTATGGCATTGAAAAAAGCCTGTGCAGCCACCCACTGAATGGACAAAGGAGGCATGTCTGTTCTGCATGGACTAGATGTGAGCCAAGCACAGAAGAATCTAGGGTTGTCCTACCTAGAATCACCTAGTAACTCCATTAGTGGTGCTGGAGCACACCCTCTGGCGTCCTCTGGATAGAAGAAGGAGAACAAGAGACCGGGAGGGATAAGCATTTGCCCGCAAGATGATTGCAGTGAGAGATTCCCAGTGGGAAATAAGCACAAAAGTGCTCCAAAAGAGGAGCCAGCTCGAACATTCATCAGGCCCCATGACAGGCCATGCTAAAGTCAAGGAAGGCTTTCCACGATTCTTGGCCTGTCTGCCTTTAATCCCTGACTACTCTTCTCTTCTGACTGGTGGATTTTCCTCCATCTTGACCTTTCACCTACCTATCTTCCCTTCTAATCCCTCAAACTCTTTCCTCAGGACACCGGGCTTCTCCTCACATCTCTCCTCTGCTTGAGTCTAGCCACCCCTCAATGTGTGTTTCCCAGATGTGCCAAACACTAATGCATCCAACATTGCACTTAGCAAGCTGGAAGATTGGTGCTTAAAGTACAAAGAGGAAGGCCCAAGAGGCGTGAGTTCCCTTCCACAGCAGGCAGCTGGCATGCAAATGGACAACTGTAAATGAAGGGGGGCTCCTACCTAGAAATAGACATTTTTGTTACTTAAAAAATTGGCATTTGGGGAACTAGATCCTGGCTTAATTTTAGCTGACAAAACACTGCAATTATTTCTGTCTAAAAAATTCAGCCAAAAGGCAGAAGCAAGCACAAGCTTCATAGGAATGGCTTAAACTGGTGAGCAGTTTAAAAACAAAACGAAATACAAACAAACAAAGATTAATTTGGGAATACAATCCGCCAGTCTGACTCTCTCAGTCTAATAGCTGTTTGTGTTTTCATCCTATTTATTCTTTACCCAGGTGAAAATTTCAGTGTCTTCACAATCATGAGACAGAAGAATGGGGGACTAGACGCAATCACCGTCGATCAAACTTGGATACCACATTATGAGATATGAACTCTAAGAGAAACTATTCAAAGGAAGTGAGGGGTACATGATTTTTATGGAGGTCTCTGGTAAACAAAGTATCTTTGTCCGTCGAGGTCAAAATCAGAAAAACTCACCTAGACAGACCATAAGCTTAGCAATGGTGAAGTAATAGCGCATGCTCTGTTACCTGTGGGAGCCTTGGTATTGGCCTTCCTGCTCTCCTGGGTCCCTTTCTGGGCCCACACATGGACCTTGTACTCCATGCCTGGCCTCAGGCCTGTCAGGATGGTGCTGGTCTTCTCTTTCCCCACTGGAGCCTCCTTTGTTTCTCCATCAGCAGAGGTGTAGCTCACCACATACCTGTCGATGCTGGCCTGCACAGGCTCCCAGGAGACACTGATCGTATTCTCTGTCACCTGGTCAGTCACCAAGTTTTTGGGACTGTCAATATCTGAAAAGAAAATGTTTGGGAAATCCTAAGCTCTGACAGTGCGAGCCACACCCACTACCCCAGTGCCACAACTTCACTGTTATAATTCATGGCTTTCACCTCCCTAAAGTGTCTTCTTAGAAGGACGTGGCATATCAAGACTATCAATTGCATATCTGCTCTGATGTCAGTTAAGTAAGTAATTTGCCATTTTACCAAAAGTTATTTATTGGCAACACTCTAGAAGGATTATCACAAATAATGCCCAACCAGTTCCTAAACACATCTCGGCTGAGCCTGCTATAAACACTGTACCCATACCCATATTCTCCCTCTGGAGATCAAGTGATTTCATGAGCAGCTCGCAGCTGTCAAGGGAGGAATATCCCACTGAGGTCATTCCTGAAGCTCACTGGCAGTCTCACATCATTAAGATTCTAACTGCAAGCCAACCACCGGTGGCTCACGCTGGTAATCCTAGCTACTCAGGAGGCTGAGATCTGAGCATCGCAGTTCAAAGCCAGCCCGGGCAGAAAAGTCTGTGAGACTCTTATCCCCAACAAACCACCAGAAAACCAGAAGTGGCGCTGTGACACAAAGAGGTAGAGCACTAGCCTTGAGCAAAATAGTTCAGGGACAGTACCAGGCCCTGAGTTCAAGCCACACCACAGACCAAAACATTTAGGCCTTTGATATCCTATACACAATCCCCAAGCTCAAAATTCAATTCCAGTTAACCATCTCTGTCTAGTTACCTGTGGGGGCCTTGGTATTGGCCTTCTTGCTTTCTCTATCCCCTTTCTGAGCCCACACGTAGACTTTGTACTCCACGCCTGGCCTCAGGCCTGTGAGGATGGTGCTGCTCTTCTCCTTGTCCACTGGAACCTCCCTGGTCTCGCCGTCGATAGAGGTGTAGCTCACCACATACCTGTCAATGTCAGCCTCCACTGGATCCCAGGAGACACTGGCGGTGTTCTCTGTTACCCGGTCAGTCACCAGGTTGGCAGGGCTGTCAAGTTCTTGAAGAAAGATATAAAAGGAGAAGATAGCTGAAAGTTTCTGAAAGACTAGCACGAACACAGCCAAAATAAGGAACTCAATACATTTGAGTCAGCTATTATGCCAATGGTTGAGAGAACTTAAAGGTTTTCATTAAACAACTGGTCAAAAAGTCAATGAACTTAATGAGTAAAGTTTTCAGATCCAGCTCACTTTTAGAAGGACTCTGTGAACTTTACCCACAAGTTGCTTTTGGATTAAAAAGAACTTGTCTCTACATACTAATTTTTCCTCTAGCCTGGATTTATATAATATACTCCTAATTCCTTTTACCTGAAAGCAAATGTATTTCAATAATTGTTTCCATCTGCTCCAGTATGTTCTTTGGGAAAAAAATATCCTATGAGTAGGAGCTGTCACGTTATTTCTATGTAAAATATCATGTCTCTGGTGAGGAACCAGGAGAGTTTTAAATTAATGCTTGTGGCCTGACCTAGAAGAAAAATCTTACTTGTAGAATCTCCCTGAGTCTCTAGATGGGTAAACTGGGTTAGAGCATGGTCCCCACCATTCCTCACTTGGGACAGGCTGTGTAATGTAAGTCATTGTCTCCTCACCTCCACAAGGACGGAAACATCAGTACCGCCCACCTCCATCACCAGCTAGGGGGAATACTAAGTGACACTGCACAGTGCATGTTTATACGTTATTACCAAAGAGGTATGAATGATCATTTTCTCCTCAAAAGAGCAAACCCTTAGCAAGTCCAAACCCAAGCAACTTGGTAGATAGAAATGATGCCTTTATTACCATGTTTTAAAAATAATCTCCTTAGAGCCAGGCTCTAAGTGGCTCACGCCTGTAATCCTAGCTACTCAGGAGATTGAGATCTGAGGACCATGGTTCAAAGCCAGTCCAGACCAGAAAGTCTGTGAGATTCTTATCTCTAACGACTCAAAAAACAAACAAACAAAAAAAGCCAGAAGTGGAGCTGTGACTCAAGTGGTAGAGCTCTAGCTTTGACCAAAAAAAAATTGAAAAAGCTCAGGGACAGTGCCTAGGCCCTGAGTTCAGGCTCTAAGACCAATGTGTACACGCACATGTTTGCACACAACACCCATACACACACACACACACACACACACACACACACACATATACACAAACAAATTAAGTTTAAGTCAGTTCCTTGTAAAGCTGAACTTCCTGAGAAGCAAATGCATTTCAAACCTGCACACCTCCTCTTGCCAGGCATGGTAAACCAGCTCAGTACCATGTACAGCCACATGCAAAGACTGGTCTTAGAGAGTACGGAGTCAGCCAGACACCAGTTACTCCTAGTTACTCAGGAGGCTGAGATCTGAGGATCGTGGTTCTAAGCCAGCCTGGGCAGAAAAGTCTGTGAGACTCTTATTGTCAATAAACCACTCAGAAAGAGCTAGAAGTGCTGCCTTGGCTCAAGTGGTAGAGCTCTAGCCCTGAGCACAAAGAGGCTTAGAGACAGCACCCAGACCCTTGAGTTTAAGCCCCAGGATCAGTAAAAACAAACAAACAAACAAAAACAGAACACGCTTCACGTAAGGACAAATGACCTAGCTCCTGGGACTCTGAGCTGACAATAACACTCTAGCCTCAACCTACCTTACTGTACCACCTATCCATCTGCCCACCTGCCCACCATGAACAATACTTAAAAAGGTCTACCCTGCCCCATTAGTCTCCCTGAAATTTTTGCATATGCTACTTCCACTGCTAATGGCGGGAGTTCCATTCAGGTGTCACCTCCTCTGACAACCCGATGGGTATCTACTTATTAGGTCCCCACAGCGCCAAGAAAATTTGGTATTTGTAGTACATAACTCACTGTATTTTATGTTTTTCATGGTCTTCTCTAATCAGAGGACTATGAATACCATTGAAGTAGGGAGACCAGGTCTGGCCAGTGCCATCTTGGCCACATGATGGATGATAGGGTCTGGCATCTTGTCTTCATGGTGGGAGAAGGTAAAGCCCTCACCTCCCAGGTGATGGCCTTGCCTGAATCCCTGGAGGCAGAGGGGAGCCCTTGGCTGATAGGCTACTGAACCTGTCAGTCCGGTGCCTAGGACTGGGAGTTTCCTGTGCCCTGCCCCCATCCCAGACCCCATTTAGGCCCAGACCAGCACTGGGGGCCATTACACCATGCCACATGTCTCTGTGTTAGCGTCCTGTCTCCTGTCTTCTGGCCTCTCTACAGTCACCTGGCCTCCCACTTCAGCTCTCCATTGGAGCTGAATTGGTTGATTGGCATTGGTTTTGTTCTTTCTTTCCTCTCTGGCCTGTTTCCTAACTGTATAAAGTGTATTTGCAGACTGCAGACCTTTGTAGCAATTGGCTGCCTGCAGACAACTAGTGCTCCAATAAAGACTCCAAGGTTCGACCTCTCAAAATGTGGCTTCTCCGGGCTGGGAAGGTGGCTCAGTGGTAGAGCGCTTGCCTTGCATGCATGAGGCCCTGGGTTCCAATCCTCAGCACCACATCAGCAGAAAAAACCAGAAGTGGTGCTGTGGTTCAAATGGTAGAGTGCTAGCCTTGAGCTGAAGAGCTGAGGGACAGCGCCCAGGCCCAGAGTTCAAGCCCCATGACCGACAAAATAAAAATAAGAATGAAATGTGGCTTCTCCACTTTTCACTTTACAACACCATATAGACAAGGACCACGAACTTTGCCTTCATCCTCCCAGAGTTCAGCTCCATGCCTAACCACCTCCCCTCCAGTGGCAATACCGCACCCAAACTCACCACAACTCCCTCTTCCTTTAATCCAGCTCCCGCTGTCTGTTATTGTTCCTTTGTTTGTGGATACTGGGGATTGAACCCAAGTCCTTTGCCAATTGAGCTAGGTCTTTACCACTTTGTGCTTGCTTTTGAAACAGGATCACACTAACTCCCTATACTGACCTTGAACTCACGATCTTTCTGCCTCCAGAGTAGGTGGGATTCTAGCTACATACTCAAAAACAAGAAAATTAGAAAGTGTTACTTCGCTCTGATAGGGTTGAATTCCAGCTCAAATAAGTATCCCCTTGTATATGAAATAAAAAGTCTAGTTCTTTCCATTTGTGGTTAAAGGGGGGGGGGGGGGGGGGGGAAATCCATAATTGTGAAATCCAAAATTGCTTTTGCAAGTATCCTCTACCCCTGCACACAAAACTGCGATGCCAGCGACCTCAGATGCACCACATCCATCTTCTCCCTGCCCTGAAGGAGCCTGGCGTGTCTTCCTCTTCTGTTACCTGTGAGCGCTTTGGTGTCCGCCTTCTTGCTCCCCTGGTTGCCCCTCTCAGCCCACACAAAGACTTTGTACGCCTCTCCGGGCTTCAGGCCGGTCAAGACAGTGCTGCTCTGGTCCTTGGGTACCGCCTTTTCCTTGGCTTCCCCGTCTGGAGCGATGTAGCGTACCACATACTTGTCTATGTCAGCCCTCACGGGCTTCCAGGACACTGCCGCTGAGTCTTCTGTCACTTGATTAGTGACCACATTTGTTGGACCATCAATTTCTTCATAAAGAAACACAAGAGGAGAAAAAAATGGCGGGTCAACATCATGGATGCTTTAAATCTAATTTGTGTGACCTAATTCAGTAGTCTACATAATACAAGCTGGTAGGGGAGGTGGGGGTAACTGGCTTCCGTTTAAACCCTACATTGGGACACGCAATCCATTTTTGAATTACTTGAACCCATTAGGGGAAACTCTTAGATTGAACCCTGGGAAGGATAATTCCTTCAAAGTGTTTGCCTTAGGTACCCAGATTGAATTCCTGAAATTCCTCTTCCAATCAAAACTTCTAGCCAGGTTCTGGCAGCTTATGCCTATAATCTTAGCTACTCAAGAGGCTGAAATCTGAGGATCAGAAGTTTGAAGCCAGACTGGTAGGAAAGTCTGTGAGACTCTTATCTCCAATTAACCACCTGAAAACTGGAAGTGGACCTGTGGCTCAAAGTGGTAGAGTGCTAATCTCGAGCAAAAAAGCTCAGGGAAAGTGCCAAGGCCCTGAACTCAAGCCCTACAACCACCACCACCAACACCAACACCAACAAAATCCTTCTCCTGTAGCGTCCTTCCAAACTACAGTTTCTAGATCTGGCACTTTATAAAGTCCCTTTCTATTTCCAAAGAAAAATTTTCAAAGCATAGTTCATTTGTTTCACAACTCATTGTGCATCTATTACATGCCAGGGAATGTAATGCCATTTTGCAGTAATTAATAAAATCCATGCCAACCCAGGACAATATGCCAGTCATATCATAGATGTACATGTAGTTCCCAATAATACAGCCTCAGTTCTTGATCTTAGAAATCCATTGCTAACCCTTGGGGTTTTCAGACTTGATCAGCACTGAGCAGGTACTCAGTACCTGCCAGAGATTCCACTTTAGAGGGGCTCTGCATCTCTGGTTTTGTTTGTTTTGTTGTGCTTTTGTGGGTTTTTGTTGTGCCAGTCTTGGGACTTGAACTCAGGCCCTGGGCATGGTCCCTGAGCTTTTGTGTGGAAGGCTAGCACTCCACCACTTCAACCACAGCTCTACTTCTGGGCTTTTGGTGGTTAATTGAGATGATAAGAGTACTCATGGGGGCTGGGAATGTGGCTTAGTGGTAGAGTGCTTGCCTAGCATGCAGAAGCCCTGGGTTGGATTCTTCAGTAACACATAAACAGAAAAGGTGAGAAGTAGTGCTGTGGCTCAAGTGGTACAGTGTTAGCCTTGAGCAAAAGAAGCTCAGGGACAGTGCCCAGCCCTGAGTTCAAACCCCAGGACTGACAAAGAAAAAAAAAGAGTATTCATGTACTTTCCGATGCAGGCTGGCTTTAGAGTATGGTTCTCAGATCTCAGCGTCCTGATTAGCTAGGATTACAGCTGTGAGCCACCTATCCCAGCACATCTCTGATTTTTGTTCTTTTTTTCCATCTCCCTCACCCTCATCTCTGTCTTTCTGTCTCTCTCTGTCTCTCTCTCTACCCCCTCACCCCTGTTTTGTTTGAAGTTTGAGTTTGTTTTTTTTGTGTTTGTTTGTTTGGGAAGTGCAAGGGTTTAAATTCAGGACCTTGTGCTTGCTTGGCTTGCTTTCTCAGCTGGCATTTTACCACTTGAGCCATATCTCCACATTGCCTTTTACTAGTTATTATGGAGATGGAATGTCATGGACTTTTCTGCCCAGACTGGCCTCAAACCACAATCCTCTGTATCTCAGCTTCCTGAGTCACTAGAATTTCAGGCATGAGCAACTGGCCTTAGCTTTTTTGACATTTTTTGTTTGTTTTGTTTTTGTTTTTCCACAGGGTCTTGCTATGTAGCCAAGACTAACCTCAAACTCACATTCCCCTGCCTCACCTTCTGAAATGCTGAGGTTACTGGTATATGCCAACATGCCCAGCTGTCTACTTTAAAAAACAGCAACAACAACAACAAGCTGGGCGTGATAGCACAAGCCTGAAACCCAGCAGTTTAGAGGCTAAGGAAAGAGATCACTAGCTCAAGGCTGGGCTGGAGTATGGGCCAATATTCTTTCCTTTCTAGCACAGCACATAGTTCTGTGTTATACCACTGTATCCTAAGTACCACTATCATCAATCAGTTCTTATGAAGCCACTACTGATACTGATCATAGTTTGTAAGTAAACTGAAGTATGCTGTGAGAAGTTATTATAATCTGAAATCCAGCAGCAGTAGAATTTGAGAGACAAATGAGGAAAGAAAATGGTCCTGGCCTGTGGCCTCTGGAACACTGAGTATCCCTTGCTGATAAACGGCCACATTCTGTGAGGAGAATGAGCAGGCTCGTAGAGCATGTTCAGGAGAAAACATGCGTAACAATAAGGATTCCCTCCCTACCCTTTTGTCCTCTCTGCATAAGAAATAATTCTGCATTTTCTAAGGGAGGGATGTGGCGAGCCCTCCAAAGGCCCTCTCTCCATCTGGGGAAATTAGGAATGAACTGGGACTAGAAAAGTAAGACTACAAGAACATCCTCACTAACCGGGCATGGGTGGCTCACGCTTGTCATCCTAGCTACTCCAGACGCTGAGATCTGAGGAGCATGGTTTGAAGCCAGCCCAGGCAGGAAAGTCCATGAGACTTATCTCCAATAAACAACACAGAAAAAGTTGGAAGTGGTTCTGTGGCTCAAGTGGTAGAGCACTAGCCTTGAGCTGAAGAGCTGAGGGACGGTGCCCAGGTCCAGAGTTCAAGCCCCAGGACCAACCAAACCAAAAACAAAAACAAAAAAGGAAAAAGAGATGGTCTCTAAGTTCCTAAAAGATCTCTGCCCATTTCCAACAAAGGCATGAATATCCCTCCTCTATATTAGCCTAGTTCTCTCCTTTATTAATCATATTTTAGATTTGTAGCCCATCAACTCCTCAGAGCTGAGAAGCTGACTTGTAAGACAAAGTTCCCAATTCTCTCCTCTTTGGCCAGTGAGGAAAGCCACTCTCTCACAGTACTCTTCGCTCAGATGCTGGTTTATCCTTGGGATGGGCTTTCCTGGCCTGGGTTTGGTAAGAGTAGAGCCAGAAAAAAGGCTTCTTGGCTGTGAATAGGAACTAAATATAGAACATAGCATGCCAGAGTTGTAGGAGACTTGGGAGTTTAGCCCAGAAAGGAGTTGTGACTTCTCCAAGCTCACAGAGCCAATTAGATTCAGAGCAGCCTAGAACTTAGAGCTCTTTGCTCCTTTCCAATGCCCTTTCTCTTAACTGCTTCATTGCTTAAGCCATAAAGAGTCTCTTCACTGTTCTCCGTGGTCATTCTCAGCCTGTAACAAGGATAGTAGCCAAATGCTGAGGTACAAGAAAAGGAGAGCACAATATGATATGGCAGATTGCTAGAAAAGGTCACCTCTGTGAGACAAAACCTCCCCCTCTACCAAGAATGTCAGGGCCATTAAGTACTTTTTCCAGTAGCTGCAGTGGCCTGCCTCCAACTTCCTCTTCACCATACACCTGCAACTTCCTACTTTCCAGACGTTGGCAGCTCTGGTAGAACTTTCTCAAGCCATTCAAAGTCAGAGAGATTCAAGGCAAGATTTGTAAGATTTCGTAGGCCACCATTGAGTACCTATGTTAGAATACTAGTAAGCCTTGTTCAAAGAGATGGAAATTGCAAAACCTGATTATTCCACATTCATGGTGGTCACCTGTGAATTGATCTGTTGAGCAGTAGAAAAATGATGTCAAATGCAAACTCTACAGGGATATGAGGCTGAGGGTCATGATGGATCTACACCACCCATCTGAAGGTGAGTTCACAGAACAGGTCCCTCCTGTGCTTCTGCCTCTTGTGGTCATGTTTGCATAGACCTCCGTAGCCATCTTTCCATAATGGCCACAATGGAAAGTGACCAATCCCTCTTGCTGCTATTCTTCTCTGCTTCTACTTCTAGAAAAGTTCTTGATTTGGATTTGGATCCAAGTGGCAGCTCAGCCACTCATTTGTTCACCCTAAGTGTCTTAAACTTGGTAAGCATTCATTTTCCCATATGTAAAATGGCAATAACAATACTTAGGTTACTGGAGTTTTGGGGGCAAGAACTCCAGCTCCAAGAGATGCAAAAGAGAAAGCCTGGCACCCATCCCAATATGCCAATTAGAGAGATGAGTAGTAATAAAAGGCAAAGAAAGCAGATTTAATTGAATGTAGCCACGCTGGGAAGGACAGTTAGAGGAGTTCATTGTCCCCAAGCCAGTCTTCAAAAGGTACAGACATGCTTATGTAAGGAAGGGACAGGACACATGCATAGTTAAGCAGACTCAGTCAGATGGTGATATTCAGGATCTTTATCTCAGGATTGGTCAGGAAGGTCTGGTCACTGGGAAGAAAGTCACTGGTGCCTGGGGATGGAGGCAGATTTGACTCTTGTCAAAAGATGTTCATCCAACAGACCTGGTATTTCTGGAATCCAAGGAAACGGCAGGACAGAATGACTCAGAGCAAAAGAGAAAGATGAAAAATGGAGGCAGAGATGCTAAGTTTTTGTCCTGCTTTTTGTTATTTGTTGGACATTTGGCAAGCCCAAGTAGTGAGTCAGTGCTTTTAGCAAAAGCAATTTCTAAGAACTTGTTATGCTTGCAATACTATTATAAGGCCCAGAAGTTTCACAGCAGTTACTCAAATTATGGAGGTTGTTGTTATTTTTCACCCACAGTGTTCGGTTGGATGATTGTACATTAGTTCTGAACGTTGACAGTTCAACTTGGAACATGAAGGAGCCTGGAAAGGGACATGCTGGGTGGAGACCAGCTCATTGCCTCTTGGTTAGGGTCAGCCTTCCTTTCTTTTTCTTTTTGCAAAGGGTCTCACTGGGTAGCCCAGACTGGTCTTGAACTCTCCATCCTTCTCACTTGGGGTAGACAGATGGGGAAGGAAATGGGTGCAGGATCACATTTGGGTACATTCTGCCAAACATCCCAATTTAATAGTTCTAAATAGTTTCCTTTGAGAGTGCATTATTGCTTTATGGTTGATTCTGTCTTAAATACACTCTGCTAAAGATGCCTCTAGGTGTGACCACCCATGCATTCTTTGTGGGACCAAGGATTTGCCATCCATCTCCCCAACATTCCTGCCTCAGCCCTTCCAGTATGAGGAAGACAGGCCTGTACCACCAAGCCCTGGCTTGGTCTGCCATGTAAGGTGAAGTCTAGGCCCATCCCTTCTGAAGACATTCGCCAGCCTCAGCTCCCAGCTCTTGAACTTGACCCACTTCTGAAGCTGTGCCTTTCAAGGAGGCATTCCACACTTTAATGGATTGGAGGAGAATTTTCTGTTAGCCCTTTCTTTTCCATTGATATTAGGTTGATAAAAGAAAAATCCTGAGATATCCTCAATTAAATTACAAAGGCTGAAGGTTAGAGGGTAAGGGATGAGGGAAGTTGATCAGCTAACAGCTGCGGGCGAACAAAAATAAGACTGCGTCAGTTGGATGTATCTAGAAACCTTGACTCCAATTCCAGCTCCCTCACTTCAGGGACCACCATGCCCAATCTACTTATAAACTTTCAGCACTGTTAACCCGCCAGGAAGCGACAAGCACTTCTTATGGCTAGCCTTTCTAACTCAAAGCTTTCCCTGCTTGGCATAATCTCATGCCTTTTATCTACAATCAATGTAAAGAAATTATGCTTTCCTTCCCCAAACTGCCTAAAATTACCCTTGGCTCTAGGCCCCTCAGGCATATTTCCAATTGCCTAGCTGCTGGTAGTAGTTAGAGGAACTTGTCCAAGGACCAGCTCTGTCCTTCTGGCTAGCAGCTGTAACAGCTCAATAAACTTTTATTTACATATCCTTCTGTCTCAAGGGTTTTGATTTAACAAGTTCCACTGAGTGACTGGTTAAATGGAAAATCCTGAACTGTGTCCTTATCCCTGAATGTGCTTATACTATTCTTAAATTCCACTGCCTTTTTCCATCTTGTGAAATGCAAAAAAAGAAGAAAAAAAACCTTTGGAGAAAACAGACCCTGTTTTCTATTAAATTAATGAACAGTCTAGACAGGTTTGACAATATTTTTTTACCTTAGAAATTACAGTATCTTTTCATTTTATGTGAGTAGAACACACAGACTTATTTGCAGTCCAATAAAAATATCTCATCCAGCTTTGAGAATATATAATTTGACAATAAAAACACTTCCTGGGTGCTAGTATTTTACTTGGAATAATGTACTTGAAAGGTTAACTAGCAACTCAAGGCTGCATAGCAATTAAATGCTCTGGAAACTCACGTAGAGATGGCATCTCATATGGGCATTGAGGCTTCAGTTGAGAAGCCTGGGTATAGCAGAGCCCAGAAGGATGGATGACGTTATCACTGTGCAGCAGCTGAGATGGTGAGTTCAATTCTCACCCCATAGCATCCTCACTCATCCAACTAGCCATTTCTAGCACTGAGCTGTGAAGAACTAAATTACTTTTTTTTTTGTTTGGTCAATCCTGGGGCTTGAACTCATGGCCTGGGCACTGACCTTGAGCTTCTTTTGCTCAAGGCTAACACTCTACCACTTGAGCCACAGCACCTCTTCCAGCTTTTTCTGTATGTGTGGTACTGAGGAATCAAACCCAAGGCTTCATGCATGCTAGACAAGCACTCTACCACTGAGCCACATTCCCAGCCTAGACCTAAATCACTTTGAAAGACTGACTCAGATTCAAAGATCCCTCCTTCGCTGGCTCTAAGCATGAGACTCCACCTGTTCCACTGTAGTCTAGATTACAGCTCCATCCTGAGTAGGCAGGAGGCACAGATTTATTTCAAGAGGTTCACAATTCAACTTAAGCTAATTGAAGTCATAGGTATGCTTTCCGATTACTTTCTGATTGATCAATTACAAATTACTGATTTTCAGAATTTTGTCATAAATTTTCTCAATATGCAAATTCTAACTCTACCCACACCAGGGTCTTTAACATCTCCTGACATTTCACTGCAGACTGCCAGAGTGTAGACCTCAGGGGGGGAAAAATACAATTCCAATAAGAAACACCATTATAGTTCACTTGTCCCTAGGTAATTTGGAGTTGTGTGCCTAGCTCAAAGATAAAAAACAACTTAGAAGAATAACCCCATGATTGAAACAACTAAAATAAATAGAAATATGTCAGAATTCTGTCCTTTTCCTTAACTCTGAGGTCCTGGAGAAGATTTTCTATGGCAAGAGAGATTTGAAAAAGGAGTTTGCCTCCTCTCCTTTGACCCCCTCCCTGTGTAGCTGTCTCTATATGAAGGGACGAAAACGCCACGCATGAATGCCAGAATTTTACCCACACAAGAGTCAGCTATGAGAAATAAGAGAGTGCAAACATCGTTAAATATCCACAGTGCCACCAAGTAGCTCTTACCAGTCCTGCCGTTCAGGAGAATCGGCTTGCCTTCCAGCCCGCCTCTCATGGGAAAAACTGTGATCTTATAGTCTGTCCCAGGCTTCAGACCTAAAAACAAGCAGGGAGTGTGGATGCGAGGACAGGCTCCAGAGCCCTACAACCAGCCCTGTTCACCTTTGGATCTCTCTTGTGAGGGCGAGATGGGTACTATTCTCTCTGCACAAGACTAACAGTCTAGGCGGAGGAAGAGCTGCAGGGTTGGAACATGAGGGCTCGTGGAAGGGTTCCTGGTCAGGAGAGGGCTGGAACAGGTGGCATGAAGTCCAGGAACCTGCTGTCTCTGGCTGGGCCATCTAGCACTTACTTTCCAGATTTAGTCTTAGCCTCCATGATTTCCTGCTTCTAACAATCAATCTTCTCTCACTACTTTCTATCTCCTCATTGTAACTATTAGGAATAATCTTTCTAGATTCCCCTCCCCCCCTCTTTCCTTTTCCTTTGTCTCTTGCATGAAGTGTGAACGGTGGTTCTTCATAGCACTAATATCCAGGCTCCAGCGGCAAACGGGAAACAAACGCCAGCATGAGAGATGCTTGCTCTCAAGAAAGAATCGGAAGAGTGGAGAGCAGGAGGGTTTGCCATGAAGCCAGCCAGCCGCCAGGTCCCTCATTCACCCCAGCGCGCTCCACAGCCCTGTGCCTAACTGGGTATTCACCACTGCATGTTACTTCTCTTAAAGAGGTCCCTGAATATGCATAGACTTCCCAGAATCCCCTTTTCTGAATTCCAGCTCAGGCATCTGAGCCAGGTGATCCAGGGAGTCCCCACCTCAGGCCCAACATAACCTTACACACACACACACACACACACACACACACACACACACCTCCAAATGGAATGTCTGCACATCATCAAATCCATCCTAAGACAAGAGAGTGCACTGACTAGAGAGGACATTTTGGAATGTCTCAGTGGAGTGCTCTGGGATGTCTGGGAGTGTCTGAAGGCCTTCCAAGTAGGCTCCATATAGGACAGTTTTGGAGTTCAAGTGTGATTTCTAAGGCTTAGGACGCAGTGCACACCCCCACTACCCCAGCATCCACAGCAAGCCCCTCGCCTTCCCAGGGCTAGCTCTTACCCGTGATGTCATATCGACTCTTGGGGTCGCGGCTCTTGGGCACATTCACCTCGGCCACCTCCTGGCCTGTCAAGGGGCCATACTGCAGCTTGAAGTAGTCCACGTCCGTCAGGGGGTTCTCCCACTCCACGTCCAGGGAGGTCTCAGTCTCTTCTGTCACCCAGGCAGTGCCTACCACAGCGAGATCTAGGCAGGGGACACAGAGGGTAAGAGAAAGCCATGGAGAGCTGCGGTCCCACAGGTCTGAAACCGGCCATTGGGTGCCAAGTCAGCTGCTCTTCTTGACACTCTGAGAGCTGGTTTTGGCCCAGGACATAGTCCTTAACAAGGGACTTAGAGCTGCCCATATAGGAACTCTCTGTTAGTCTTCAGATTTTCCACAGAGGGTAGTCTGTCTTCCTAGGAAGCCTCTGTTCCTCCCCTTCTCCCCTGCAAGTCCTGGCAGGTTACGCTACCTTGCTAATTAAACTCTGGCCAAGTCTCTCAGGCCCGTATCCACACAGCCCAGCTCGAGGCCCAGCTAGTCTACACTACTGCTCCCCCTTTGGCTGGCTATGGAGTCCCCATCCTCAGAAGAGACTTCTAAGCCTTTCCACGTAAAGTTGAGGAAATGCATTTCAATTTCTTTTAGTATGTTTACGCTGTAACTAGTTCCTTCTTCCACTTTCCAAATTATAGCCCTTGACTCTCAAATTCTTCTATATGAATTAACCCAAGGCAAATCTATAAAGTAGGTGTTTTTGTTTTTCTTTTGACTGGTACCATGGCTTGAATTCAGGGCCTTGAATTTGCTTGGCTTGCTTGCTCAAAGCTGGAGCTCTACCACTTGAGCCATGCCTCCAGCACGGCTTTTGTGCTGATGAACTGGGGGTGGAGTCTCAAGGACTTTTCTCCCCAGGCTGGCTTCAAACTGCAATTCTCTGACAGCTAGGACTACAGCCATGAGCCACTGGCACTTAACTAAAGGGAGTGCATTTTAACTTGGTCTTTCTATGTATCCTTCCTGTGGTACTCATGCTGCTTTACCTTGTCCTAGAAGGAGTTACAAAAGGAGTTACCACATGACTTTGCTCACAGTAAAGTACTTAGGTTAAATGTTCGCTCTTCCTTCCACTTGGAAAGGAAGGGGTCACTGATAGTGCCTTAAGGGAAGAACCTTTGGAGGGTGACTGGGGTCTCTGGGGAGCACTTCAAATGCCACCGGCTAGATCTCAGACTGATAGAGCCTGTCCTTCAAGTCTGGATTAGGGAAGGTAAGTTCCTCAGATTCTCAGCCTTGCGTCGGTGGGTGGAGACCTTTTTATCCAATGCCAGTGGGCCATTTGTGGGACAGGGAGCACTCGCACAGGCAGGGTATGACTTGGTGATCTCCAGGCGCTTGCGATCTGAGCACCTTGTGGATAAAGAGCCTCTCAGAGCCATTCGTCTGTCCCCTCACCTCCAGCTTCCACCTGACAGAACCCTGGCTTCTGTTTTAGACTCTTCTCAAAGATGAAATTCAAGAGTAGAGTAGCAAAGGTGACTCAAGGATCGTGCAATGAGTCCTGCAAGGCTTCAGAGAACATGGAGGGATTCACAAATGAAAAGGCAAGGGCTTGGTAAGAATGCTCCGATTGGGCTGGGAAGGTGGCTCAGTGGTAGAGCGCTTGCCTTGCATGCATGAGGCCCTGAGTTCGATTCCTCAGCACCACATAAGCAAAAAGAAAAAAGCCGGAAGTGGAGCTGTGGCTCAAGTAGTAGAGCGCTAGCCTTGAGCTGAAGAGCTGAGGGACAGCGCCCAGGCCCAGAGTTCAGGCCCCACGACAGGACCCAAAAAAAAAAAAATCCTCAAAGAATGCTCCGATTATGGGGATGCATACTGCTTGGTCTGAGCTATCCTTGACGGGCAGGAAAGATTGTATTTAACGTGGCTAGGATTAGACAGAATGACAAGCTTCACACTAGAGAGGTTTTATAGGTCTTTCATCCAAGACATCAAGAAGAGTTGCTAAGACTCTCAGAACAGGTGTCCCTGTCTTCCCCTCAGAGATTGGACACTCGCCTATCTGTAGAAAGATGCAATCACCAACAAGAGCAGCTAACCTGGCCTGGTTCTCACCGCTGTTTGCTATTGTCCCATGGACACAAAGCATCTCACAGAATATTAGTATCAAGACAAAACAAGGCCATTCTAAGGCCTTATCTATCCCCAGACACAAACAGGATTACAGCTCACACAGGTGACAGAGCACCCCCACTTCTGACTCGAACACATGGCTTCTTCTTTCCAATCACAGCTCTAGCCTCCCTCTAGTGTGTCTTCTTGCTAGAAATGGTTCGTGAAGATCGCCAACCACAGAATTATCCCCATTTCTGAGAGCATCCGATCCAAAGCAAAACTGTGCTTTCCTTAAGCTTCTCCTGAATTATCTAGCCCAAGTCCGAAATCTATAACATGTCCTTTCTTTCACTCTGTTATTGCCATACCACGCCTTTTTCCACGTGTGCCTCTTCCCATACTGAAAGGAAGGGCATACCGACCCGGTTCAACTACGGGGCTTTTTCTAGCATTTTGGGCTGGAGGGTGCTGACAAAGGCAATCACAAATGGTGCCAAGCCTCCACTGCCAAGCCTCTTTTGACACTTTTCAACACTGTCCTATCCTAGCCCACCATTTTCTCACAATTAAAAAAAGACAGCCATATGTTTCTGCAGTGACCACTGTAAGTCCATATTCCACCCCCCCCCCCCCCCATCAGCCTCTTCCTCAAGGACTTTAGGCCAAAAAGGGGTCGATGTGGGGCATTTTTTTGTTTTTTTAATCATGTACCTGGCACATGGTAAGTCCTTAGCCACTAGATGTCTTCACACCCTTGAAAATTTAAGCTGTTTTAAGAGTTTTCATGGGGAAATAAGGATTTTCTAAGTTGTTACTTAGAAAATCCACCAAGCAGTTACTTCTAGGGGCAAGCTCCTAAAAGGAGGGGAAAATTGTTCATGCTGATATTGAACTCATAAACTTCCTGCTTCAATCTCCCAAGTGTCAGGACTACAGAGGTATGTCAACATGGCTCAAACTTTTTTGTTTGTTTGTTTTCACCTAAAGGCCTTCGGAACAATGTACAAAGAATGAATAAAATGGCATCACTTTGAATCATTCTTTTATTTATTTTTTCCTGATTCCAGGGACTTGGATTCAGGGGCCTTATACTTACTAACAGCTGGCACCCAGCATTTAGTTTTTTGTTCTGATTGACTAGAGATGGAGTCTTATAGAATGTTCAGCATGGAGCTAGCTTTAAACTCTGATCTTCAAAGTCTCAGTCTCTTGAATAACCAGGACTCTCATTATAAAACTATATGGTCTTGACAGCTACCTTTAAGTGAAAGTAAATAGATGATTTACTTTTGAACGCAGGCTAGCTAACCTCAAACTGAGTAAGCTTGGGAAAATGGCCACCTCTATGTCTTCATAAACAACTTTTCCCATCTGAGCCCTCTCTTCCCTGCGGAGAAGCATCTAATTGTTACAGATGGCTTCGGAAGCTTCCCACACATCCTGACCTGAATTTGCTGAATGGCCTTGGAGACTCGGTGAAGGGATAGGACACAGGCATATGCTTTGCTTGTGTGTGACAGTGGGGCCACCAAAGGGACACAGAAGGCCTCCTTGAGTCTCCATCTAGATGCTGGCCACCCTTGGCTTTGAGGACCCGTTAAGCAGGAAACAAGGAGAAGGGAGAGACAACTGGAGACTTCTCCAGAATCGAAGGTGGCTACAGCTCTGGCTTTCAAACCCCAAAGTGGGGCAACAGACCACGCTATACATAGAAGGGTATTTGGGGCCTCTCCTGGAGCCCTCTGGGCATCGGGCCCACCTTACCTGTGGTGGCCAGCAGATGCTGTGGACTGCTGGCTGTGTCTTTCTTCACGTTGCGCAGGGTGACGATGTACTTGGTGCCAGGCATCAAGCCGGGAATCTCGTAGGTGTGCTGCTCCTTGGGCACTTGGATCTGCTTGAGGGAGGGCTCCTCCCCCAGGGGATAGTAGCTGAGCAGGTAGTGGTCCACGTCACTGGTGGGCTCCCAGCTCACCAGCAGGGAATGCTCGGTGCTCTTGAGCAGCTGCAGGCCCTGAGGTGCCACCACTGCGTGCAGAAGAGAACAGGTGTGGAAAGGACAAGGTGTGGGGGGAGGGGGGGGACACTCCTAGCCTGTGAACTCAACCCCAGGATGGTAGGCCTGGGGGAGGAAGACTTAGGTAGGTATATGTGGACACCCTCCCAGGAGGAAGTTAGTAAGTTATAGTTAGGAGTTAATACCCCCACCACCCTGCATGCGTGCATGCACACACACAGCCATTAGATCCCCAGTCAAACCCATGGCCTTCACACCCCAGGTCCCCACACCAGCCGTGTGCACACACACACACACACACACACACACACACACACACACACACACGCACACAGAGCCATTAGATTCCCCAGTCAAACCCACGGCCTTCACACCCCAGGTCCCCACACCAGCCGTGCACACACACTCACACACACACACACACACACACACACACAGCCATTAGGCCTTCACACCCCAGGCCCCCACACCAGCCGTGCACACACACTCACACACACACACACACACACACACACACAGCCATTAGGCCTTCACACCCCAGGCCCCCACACCAGCCGTGCACACACACACACACACACACACACACACACACACATACACACACACACAGAGCCATTAGATCCCCAGTCAAACCCACGGCCTTCACACCCCAGACCCCCACACCAGCCATGCACACACACTCACACACACACACACACAGCCATTAGGCCTTCACACCCCAGGCCCCCACACCAGCCGTGCACACACACACACACACAGAGCCATTAGATCCCCAGTCAAGCCCACGGCCTTCACACCCCAGGCCCCCACACCAGCAGCAGCAGCCGCGTTAGCAAATCCGGCTGGACCCATGAGGCCACGCCCCACGGACGGAGGCCCAGAGACGTGCTCTAGGGGTCCCCACGTGCTCCTTGGTCGCCCCCCACCCAGCCTGGAGACCCGGGGGTGCCAGGCAGGTGCCCCAGGCGCATGCGCGCTGCGGCCTCACCCTGGGCGCAGTCGAGGCCCGTGAAGCCCGGCTCGCAGTAGCACTCGCCGGTGTCGCAGAAGCCGTGGCCGCTGCAGTCGCCGGGGCAGCGCCGCTCGCTGCAGTCCTCCGACGTGAAGTCGTCGTGGCACTGGCAGACGCCGCGCACGCACGCGCCGTGGCCGCTGCACGCGCCGGGGCAGGCCGGGTAGGCGCAGTCGGCGCCCGCGAAGGGCTCGTCGCACTCGCAGCGCCCGTCCACGCAGCGCCCGTGGCCGCTGCACGCCCCGGGGCACGCGGGCCGCTCGCAGGCCGCGCCCTCCCAGCCCGGCGCGCACTGGCAGCTGCACGTGTCCGGGAGGAAGCGCCCGTGGCCGCTGCAGTGGCGGCCCACGTCTGGGAAGGAGGGAGGAGGGAGGGAGGGAGGGAGGGGAGGAGGGAAGGGAGGAGGGAAGGAAGGAGGGAAGGAGAGAGGGAGGGAAGGAGGGAAGGAGAGAGGGAGGGAAGGAGAGAGGGAGGGAGGGAAGGAGGGAGGGAAGGAGGGAGAGAGAGGGAGGGAGGGAGGGAAGGAGGGAAGGAAGGAGGGAAGGAGAGAGGGAGGGAAGGAGGGAGGGAAGGAGGGAGGGAGGGACGGAGGGAGGAGGGAGGGGGAGGGAGGGAAGGAAGGAGGGAAGGAGAGAGGGAGGGAAGGAGGGAGGGAGGGAGAGAGGGAGGGAAGGAAGGAAGGAAGGAGGGAGAGAGGGAGGGAAGGAAGGAGGGAGGGAGGGAGGGAGAGAAGGAAGGAGGGAGGGAGGGAGGGAAAGAGGAAAAGGAGGGAGGGAGGGAAAGAGGGAGGGAGGGAAGGAAGGAGAAAGGGAGAGAAGGAAGGAGGGAAAGAGGGAGGGAGGGAAGGAGGGAGGAAGGAAAGAAGGAAGGAGGAAGGGAGGAAGGAAAGAAGGAGGGAGGGAGGGGAAGGGAGGGAGGGATGGAGAGAGGGAGGGAAGAAGGGAAGAAAGCAGGAAGGAAACAATAGGAAATGGTGGGTTTGGTTTTTTTTTTCCTTTCTTGAAAACTGGGCGGAGGGGGGCGGGGGTCAGGCCTGTAATCCTAGCCACTCAGGAAGCTGCCATCTGAGGATCATGGTTTGAAGCCAGCCCAGAGGCAGCAAAGTCTCAGAAACTCTTATTGCCAATTAACCAACATAAAAAGCTTGGCAATGGAGCTGTGGCTCGAGGGCTACAACACCACACCAGTCTTTTGTTTGTTTGTTTTTGTTGGCCGTGGGGCTTGAACTCTGGGCCTGGGCGCTGTCCCTCAGCTCTTCAGCTCAAGGCGAGCGCTCTACCACTTGAGCTACAGCCCCACTTCCGGTTTTCTGGTGGTTTATTGGAGATAGGAGTCTCACGGTCTCTCCTGCCCGGGCTGGCTTTGAACCGCGATCCTCAGATCTCAGCCTCCTGAGTAGCTAGGATTACAGGCGTGAGCCACCAGCGCCTGGCTTTGTTTGGTTTTTTTTTTAACTGTATTTTTTTTGTCTTTTCTTTTTTGGTACTGGGGATCGAACCCAGGACGTTGCACTTGCTAGGCAAACGCTTTGCCACTGAGCTACATCCCAGCCCGCCACACCAGTCTTGATCAGGAATGAAAAGCTTAAGGGAAGGCATCTGGTTTTTGTTGTTTTGTTTGTGCCTTATCCTGGCGCTGTCCCTGAGCTCTTTGTGTTCAAGGTAAGCCAGTGACCGCTTGAGACACTCCTCACTTAGGGCTTTTTGTGCTTAACTAGAGATCAGAGTCTGGTGGACTTTTCTGCCAGGGCTGCCTTCCAACTGATTCTCAGCTCTCCTCTGCCTCTGAGCAGCTAGGGTTATAGGAAGATTGGTGATTCCTGCGCTTGTTGGTTTTGTTTGTTTTTGTTTTTGGATGATGAGTAAGGGAAACTGGGTGTCTGAGCTTTTCTGCTGAACCAAAGCCTCTGACTTGTAAGATCTAATGTTTCTCCCTTCTCTGCCTAAAAAGCTGCACTGAATCCTTCTCCCGTTCCTTTCTTGGGCGAATCCCCAGCTTCCTTCCTGTGGGTGGTGGCAATTACTTAATGCTTTTCCATGAAAGGCTTTAAGTGCTCCATTTGGGCAGGAGGGGGAAGGGCTCCTAGGAAAGGTGGTTGAGATCCAGGCAGGTAGGAGTTTATCTTTTCCTACCGGCAGAGCTGGACCTAGCAAGGTCCTGTCCTTGAAGCCTGGAGAAGTGGACCTCCAGAAGCTAAAGAAGAGCTCGTCTGGATTATGGGCATAGGGCTGGACCAAGGCGTCTAACCAGGCCTCTTCCTGACCCTGTCCAGCAAGAGTCAGCTGAAGGGCAGCCACTCACTGAACGCCCTCTTCCGTCCTTTCTGCTTCTCAGAATGTACCTTCTTCCCTTCCGAGGGGTGTTTCCAAAGCTGGGGTCTGTCAGGGGATAGTTCCAGGCTGGTTTCTTCCTGGCAGTGTCCCTGGCACCTGCTTCTGTATCAGGCATTTAGGAAAGGTTCTTACTAATAGCAGTTCTTTCAGACAGAAACATCTGTGCCACCTGCCTCCGTCTGGGGAATTTAGGCTTTTAAAAGACACAAGAGCTCATAGAATTCACAAACTGTATAGACCATGATAATGACAGTTTGCCTTGTGAAAGTTAAATGTGTGTGTGACTCTAAGTATCACTATTCCACTGTGAAATAGGTGAAATTTATGTAATCACCTATCTCAATTAAAAGTGAGGGAAGGGAAGGGTTAAGAGAGATGGGTGACAGTGTTGTCAGACACTTTGTACTCATGTACTTGTAGAATGGGAACTTCTTTGTGCAACTACTTAAATATAATTAAAATAAATGAATAAATAAATTTTTTTAAAAGACACAAGAACTGGAGAGATGACCTCTAGAGGTAGAGTCTCTGCCTAGCTAAGCATAAAGCCCGAGTTTCAAACCCGGTACTGAGGGGGGTGGGGGCGGGGGGCAGAAGAAATGTCACTATTTGCAAAATCAAATAATCAAACTGTAGTCCTTTATGACTCATAAAAGTGATAGTTTCCTGAATATAAACTATGTACCAGGAATCCAATTATACCAACTCTAGTCTTCAAAACGGTATTGGTTGATAGAACGATTTCCCTTAGACAGATGAGGCACCTGAAGGAATCGGCCTAAAGTCAGATGTGGCCCTCTTTTTCCTCTGTGTCCACCAGCTCCCCTTTGAGTAGAAATAGTGTCCTCCACTAAATGACCCCCAGGACTGTTCCCAGAGCAGCAGTAACCACTAAGGCATTGCTGCCCAAGTTTCTAGCTGCCCTTGGAGCTGGTACCAATAATCAATTAGCAGGGATGCACCACCAGGCACAGAAAACCCAGAGTGAGTGGTGGGGGCAGACCAGAATCACAGAGTGTTCATAAGGAGCACCTGACACGTAACAGAGGCTCAGTACGTGTTTGCTGAATGAATACGCAATGGCAAGCTCACCTGCAGCCCCGAGGCAGCAGCGCTGAGCACTGCACTGCTCCCTCATCTCTGCCATCTCTTCCTCCAGCTTCTTCACCCGGGCCAGGAGGTCCTGGACACTGTCTGCCAAGTCACAGTCTTTCTGTGGTGTCTGAAGGCGAATGTTGTGCCTGAAGATGAAATTCTGTTCTTCCCCAGCCTCCCCCAGGGCCATGAGTGAGGCCCCATCATCGCTGAGGGACTGCGGGTCGGCCTCCACCTGGATCAGGGCAGACTTGGGAACATCGATCTTGTATGTGTGGCTCACAGTGACCTGCTGATCCTTGCTGCTGCAGCCCTGAGGCTCCGGGGTGGCTGGGGCAGAGGTCACCAGGAGCACAGAGCCCAGCAGGAGCCCCAAAGGGAAGCTGAGTGTCCCCTGGACACCCATCCGTGGAGAGAGGGGGAACAGATGCTCCACGAAGCCTAGACCCAAAGGGAAAAGACACAGAAGAAAACCATGAGACTTGTGGAGGGAGATGGGCATTTCTACCAGACTTTAACTGTCCACTGGAGGTTGAAAAAGGAGCAGAAAGAAGAGTCCATCCTTTATTTCCTGAGGATCCAAGCTCAGAATGCCCTGCCCTGCCACAGTCTATGCTTATACTGCTTGCTACACTACCCGGTTACCTTCTCCTCCCTTTCCAATCTAGGCTCGTCTGCACTTCATTTTTGTTTTTATTATTATCTATTTTGTCTGCACTTCCTTTTTATTTTTATTATTATCTTTAAGTAGTTGTACAAAGGAGTTGCCATTTGCCAGAGCAGTTTATGATACAGGATATCTTGATCAATGTCACCCCTTCCAACTTTCTCACCCATCCCTTCCCTACCCACCCTTCCTTCACTCCTTTCTAAGACCGGAACTGGAAGTCAGTACCTGATGCTTTAGCTCATTGGCTAGCGCGCTACCAACTGAGCCATGCCTTCTTAATTTTGTAGGATCTACATGGAGCAACCCTATTGTGTTGAAGGCCTACTGTCCAGGCTTTGGTCACACACGCACACCCACTCTCTCTAGTCTTTACAGCAGCCCTAATATTCTTTCTTCATAATACCAATAATTATTGAGATCAGTAACAATTGATTTCCCCTAGAGTGCTTGCTATAAAAGAAGCACTGTTCTAAGTGTTTCACATTTACTAATTCATACAATGCTGCATATGAACCTGGGGAACAGAAGACTTCCTTATGAATAAAAATAACTTATTCACCAAGGCCTCTTTACTGCCTCTCCCCCATCTCACCCCAGCTGGAAGCCTGCTCTTGCTCCTAAGCAGTTGGAGAGAACTAGTCCCTCCCTCTTGGTCTCCTGCTTTCGTCCCTCTTGTACACAGCTTTTCTCTTCATTAGACTGTAAGCTTCTGAGGGACAGGATCCAAGGTGGCTTCATCTGGGGGTCGTTGGGAGGCAGGAGCACAGAGTCACGGGCTGAGGGGTGCTGTCACTACCCTCAGACCCATCTCTGTAAAGGTGGCGGGCCAGGCATCCCAGGCCAGGCAGGCCTGAAATGCTGCTGCTCAGCCACCAGGAGGCAGCATCGTCACCACTGCCTCATTCCTCAGCCCAATTCCTTGGTTTCTTTCCCCTGCCCCTTGCTGATCACTGACAGTGAGGCCCTAAATTCAAACCCCAGGAACAGCAAGAAAATACATAATAAAATAATAGTAATGTAATAATATTAAATAGTAAATGTTAGTTGTCAGATTGCAGGACGTGCCAGGCATTGGTAAGGTGCATAGATCCTCATAACCACTGGTCAACAGTGCTGTGTGGCCAGGCGCCGGTGGCTCACGCTTGTAATCCTAGCTACTCAGGAGGCTGAGCTCAGAGGATCTCGGTTCAAAGCCAGCCTGGGCAGGAAAGTCCATGAGACTCTTATCTCCAATAAACCACCACTCAGAAAACTGGAAGTGGCGCTGTGGCTCAAGTGGTAGTGTCAAGTGTCCTTGAGTTGAAGAGCTGAGGGACAGCGCCCAGGCCCAGAGTTCAAGCCCCATGACTCACACACCACACACACACACACACACACACACACACACACACACACACACACACACACACAGTGCTGTGTGAAGCCACGGTTACTCTCCTCAGTGGGGAAGGAAACTCAGTCTTGAGAGGCAAAGCCTCTTACCAGGTGTTGCCCTACCAGGAAGTGGCAGAGTCAGAATTCCAACCCAGATCCATATGATCACAATCTGTGCTTGGTCTTCCTTAATAGGACCTTCTGATACAAAGCTACAGGCGTTTAAAGAAGAGGCTTGTCCCTAGCCATTCCCTTGTCTGTGCAGATTAACTATACACTGCACCCAAGTATGTGCCACTACCCAGAACTAAACAGAAATGCACCTATTTATTTTATTGAGACATAATATTTGTGCAGCAGTATCATATAATGCATGCATATCATGTGTAATGACCAAACCAAAGTATGAGCACTTCTGTCTCTTCAAACCTTAACCATTTTTGTGCTGGGACTTTCCTACTCTTCTTTCCAGTTACTCTGTGTGTGTGTGAATGTGAGAGAAACAGACAGACAGACAGACAGAGACAGGCATTCATATTACATTACTCCGTCTTGGCTCTTTCAGTCATCCACAGCATGGATTCTTGATAGGAATGATGTGCTGTAGCTTTTCTGTGTGCTACCTTGCACACGCTAACCTCGCACACTACAGATGGGACTGGGAAGGGTCGGGGACGTTTCTTATCATCTAGGGATTTGAACAGTGGACAATCAGTGTCCACGCCCTTTACAGAGAGTTGCGCTAGTGGAAGTTTAGGGTAACTAGGAGGTGGCACACAGAGTCCAGAGTCTGACTCTGACCAGGAGGAATTTACAGGTTCTTGGGGGACACCTCAGTGGGAGAGGCAAGACTAGATCAATGACAGACAAGGTTCTGTGGGATGGGGGGAGTGGGTGGGGGAGTTGGTGGGGGGAGTACAAGGAAACAGTTCATCAGGGGTACCCCACCCCACGGCAGGAAGAACTCACAAAGGGGCACCAGACTAGCAGCAGCAGCAGTTGCCATTGCCAGGCATTCAGTAAGATGATGGCAGTACAACGTTCCCCGCCCAGCAGTGGTGTCCATTTTCTCCTGTCCTTGACCACCACTCCTCACGAGCAGCATGGATGTGGCCGGAGGCCCACTGTGCCTGTCGGTGGATTCCAGCCTTCGCCTGCATGGATGTGGCCTAGAGGGGGACTGGTGTTCTGACAGGGCAAATGATTTGCCTTCAGAACAGTGATTCCAGGACCAAAGCAAGCAGAAAGCTTTGGGGCTCTGTGTGGGACTTTGGTGAGAGGATAGAGGAAGTGGGGGAGCTGGTGAAATTGCTATTTTAAAGAGTGCTTCCCAGGGCTGGGAAGGTGGCTCAGTGGGAGAGCACTTGCCTTGCATGCATGAGGCCCTGGGTTCGATTCCTCAGCACCGCATAAGCAGAAATAAAAAGTTGGAAGTGGTGCTGTGGCTCAAGAGGTAGAGCGCTAGCCTTGAGCTGAAGAGCTGAGGGACAGCGCCCAGGCCCAGAGTTCAGGCCCCAAGACCAACAACAACAACAACAACAAAAAGAGTGCTTTCCAATGAGAAGACAATCACACAGCCAATTTTCTACTTGTTATTCAAGCTGGGAACAGAGAGACAGAGACCCAGAGAGCATAGTGCTACTGATTATGCAACTAATGAACACAAGATCTCAGAAACAAACCCAGGTGTCCAGTCCCTGGCCTGGACCCCTGAACCCATGAGCAACCTCAGTCTCCAAAGCACAGTAGCATGAGTGTTTCCACTGTTCAAAATCCTCTTCCCTCGCAGCAACAGAGCCAGGAAAGCCCCAATTTCGCTGCCTTTTCCCACCACGGCTCACTCTCAGCCCATGGCTCATTATTCCTGAGACCACTCAGGAGCCGTGAGTGGTCTAAATGGAGTGCAGATGTTTCTTGAAGAAGTTCTTGAACACATGCAAAAAAAAAAGCCAGGGAGTATTGCCATAAACCACAGCAAGGCTGCCCAAAGCCCCGTTTCCCAGTGGTTGGTTTTGAAGCCACGGAAATGAGAAACCCCAGAAGCTCTTGTCGGAGACCTCCTGTCGCCTGGTCCCCTGAAAAGGAACGAGATGTCCCAGCTAATGCCAGCCCCTCCCGCTCCCCATGGCAAGCTCAGCTTTTCCAGGGCAGTAAGTGTGACTGCTCGAAAGATGAGATGGGGAATCCTCCATCGAAGACTTGTCAAGGGTAAAAGCAAACAAGAGAAGCTGCTGGCGCTCTCTCCCACATGAGGCCAGGGGAAAGCCTAGCTGTGTTTGGTAGCATTCAGAAGCGATGACTTCACCCACTGTTTTCTGTGCACCACCGTATACCGCAGCCAGCTCCCTGGGGAAGGGGAGGGGAGAGGCCTGCAAAGACACCGCGTTTCACCATTTCGCATGTCATACATTTCTCCACGAAGGAGTCACTTCCCATGGAAAGTAGGGGAGATGCTATAAGGAATCAAGGATCAATCATTCCCATATAGGAAAGGTGCATGCAAGAAAGCACCAGAAACCAGATGCCCCGGGAATCGTGTCTTTACCTCTGAGGGGTAGTGGATGAGAGGGGAGGGTGGGAGGCAGAGGAGGAACAAATGAATGCTTTTAGATGGATGATGCCTCTGCAGAGCTCCAGAGATGTCCTGAAGTCTCAGAGCTCTAAACTGGGGCCTCATTTCTTCTTGGTAGCTGTATCTATCCCTGTGGCTTTAATTCCCAGGCAAATGTTCACAGCTCCCAAATCTGCAGGAATCGCTAGGTGGCAATGGCTGTATCAATCCCCTCCTATCTTCAGCTTCCTAGCCCAGAATAGCATGGAATTCCGAGGTGAATTAAATATCAACCACACTACATTGTGTGTGTGTGTGTGTATGTGTGTGTGTGTGTTTACTAGATATAGGTACTTCAGCATTTTTAAAATCAACATTAGTCTTATTGAATCTTCAAAATGCTGAAAGCCAATGGAGAGCATTCTTGGTTACAAGTGCTCAGAGAGGTTAATTTGACTAAGGGCACACAGATAATAAGTAGTACAGCTGGGAGCGCATAGCAAGACTGTCCACTCTAGATCTGCGTTCTTCATCTCTATATTATGTGCTATATATGTGAGGAGGGGAAGAAAAAGTCCCTTCCCCATCACCAAAAATGTAGCTTTTTCTGCCATATGTCTTTTCAGAGAGAGCTTCTTCTGCAAATAAAGGAAACTCAAGGCCTACTGGGTAACCAGGAAAACATGAATGAATCAGAAACTAAACCCTGGGTCTGCACTTACTCCGAGCAGAGTCAAGATGAGCCTTGGAAAAAATGAAGCCTCAAGACCTTCTGTGCCCTGGGGCAGAGACTGGCCAGGCCTTGGTCAGG